TGTCAATCGTCCAGCTCAGACGACGAGTACCCGGTCAGAACCGAGAAACCAATGAAGAGGAGGCGGCGAGTATTGTCTTCGAGCTCGGAGGAGGATGTCAATGAGACAAGGCTACGCCGCGTGGAAAGCATGGTCGAGAATCTTTACCACTTGGTCTCAGGAAATAAAGAGAACGATGGCAGCGTCATGAATTCGACGTGGCAAGCTCCAACTCCTACAGGTGAAGAGCTGTATGACGCCGACAGTATTGGCACATGTGGCAGCGTAAACGACTGGGACACGTTTTCCCCTGTCACTAGGGAAATCGAGCCTACAGTCCCTAGGGCGGACCCAGTAATCGAGACACAGGGCATGAAATGCCAGCGTTTCGGGGAAGAGACATGGAACAAGATTCGTTACGCGGACGCTCAGAAAAAAAAAAAAACTCCACGCATCACCAGTCTTCAGTACTCTGAAGGTTAACTCATCCTTGTACAACAATGGACATGCAAGCCCAATGACAGATATGTTATCCAAAAGTGACCTGGCCTTCGGGACTATCTCACACGGTCTACTGAAGCAACGGAGAATCATACATGAGGCTCTGAAGGAGGCGGGGAACAAACACCCGGAAGCGGCAGACACTTTGAAAAAAGTTTTTGCTGCTAACAGTGAATACAAGACCATCTCGGACGACCTGCTGCAGTTCGTTTGCGGAAAAAGGGCGGAAATCATCGAAAGTCGCAGGAAACTATACGAGCCTAAAAGTAGTTACTATAGGTCCATCGTCAATGAGATTCCTCCGTCAGGTACGCACTTGTGGGATGAAGAGCAGCTGAAAGATGTGGTTAAAATGCATGGAGTGACGAAAATTGCTCCTGTCCGCTGGCAGAGTAATTTGGGAAAAGTCGCACTGAGACAGAAGGTGCCTCAAGGAACTTCTCATGAAAAGTATCTGCGTCAAGGTTCATTTAAAAAAATGAAGAAGGCAGAGTTTAAGCATTCGCGTAAGCCGGGGGCGAAAAGTCATACCAAGCTAGCTCGTAAGGAGCAACCACCTTTAGATAAAAGGCGGAGTTTTTGACAGTTTTCAGGCAGGACAACTCGCCAAATATGTCTCTGCTTGGAAAAGTATGGGAGCCTCACAATCGATTCTCAGTATCCTGAAAGGCTACGTGATCCCTTTCTCAATAAAGCCACCAATAACAGTACTATCCCAACCGATACTAAACAAATTCGAGACACCAGCATCCACACAAATGGATCGAGAAATACAAAACCTCATAAATCAAAAGGTGGTAGTAAAACTGCAAACAAAAACAGGTTTCTTATCAAAGATGTTTTTGACGCCGAAATCGGGGGGCTTGTGGAGACCAGTGTTCAATCTAAAAAGATTGAACAGCTTCATCACGCCCAAGAAGTTCCGCCTTATGAACCATCGCAAACTGCCATTATTTCTCCAGGAAAGAGATTATATGGTAAAAGTCGACCTTTCTCAAGCATATTTTCATTTGCCAATAAAGCAAAAGCATTGGCGTTATCTGGGACTTTATTACCGGCAAAACATCTACGCTATGACAGCACTACCATTTGGCCTAAGTTCCGCTCCACAGGTGTTTGCAAAAGTTACGAACTGGGTGGCGAGCTACTTGAGGAAACAAAACATTCGAGTAATGGTCTATTTGGACGATTTTTTGATCGCAAACCAGAATCCAGAAGAACTAAAGCGAGAGGTATCCACCCTGATAGATACTCTCATAAAGCTGGGTTTCTGCATCAACCTGGAGAAGTCCGAAATAAGACCTACACAGAAATTGGCATATCTAGGTATTATGTGGAACACCATAAGAAATCAAAAGAGTTTACCGGAGGACAAAATCCACCGTCTGCAAACATCAATCCAAGCTGGAATCAAGAGCAAGACTTGGAGCTGGAAGCAGGTAAAGGCACTGCTAGGGAGAATGGAATTTGCCTCGTTGTTATCCCATTGGGTCGACTACATTGCAGAAAGATACAAAGAGCAGTCAATCGGATGTCAGAAAACTAACCAAAGAAACTGTTCAATATAGACCTGGACGTATTGCGAGAGCTAAGATGGTGGGAGAAAAACTTAAAAGGGTCATCCATAATCTGCATGAAAGAACCGGAAGTTCATATAATAACCGATGCCTCAAACACGGGCTGGGGAGCCCAAGTAGGAGACACTTTGAGGAAAGGAAACTGGACAGAGCAGCAGGAAAAGTGGCATATCAACAAAAAAGAAATGTTCGTGATCTACTTAGCGCTAAGAAACCACCTAGATCGATTGGCAAACAAAACACTGTTAATTCAGACGGACAACAGGACGGTGGTTTCCTACTTGAGAAATCAAGGAGGAACCAAGTCGGTCACGCTTTTGGCATTGACCAGGAAGATCCTGGAGCTGGCACATCAATACAGTATGTCTCTGAGAATAGAACATATTCCAGGAAACTACAATATTGTGACCGACCACCTATCCAGAGGAAAGGATCTGCCAGACTGGCACTTATCAAGGATAGCTCAGAAGAGGATCTTCGAAAAGTGGGGAACCCCTTGCATCGACCTATTTGCGACTCCAGAATCAGCCGTCGTTACAAGATTTGTAACGCAATTCCCATGCAAGGAGGCAGAATTCGTCAACGCATTTACAAGAACGTGGGAGTACAAGCTAGCGTGGATATTCCCTCCTCCACCCCTAATACCAAGAGTTCTCCAACACCTCAACTATTGTCAGGGAGTTTTCATAATGATAGTCCCCAGGTGGGAAAGGGTGTTCTGGCGGCCCCTGCTGAAGAGACGTGCCATCGACCACCCGTTCACCATTCGGAATCTGAAGGCTCACCTGGAAGATCTTCAAACCAACCAGCCTTCTCCAAAGGTAATGGATTTACACCTGGAGGCATGGAAGATACGGGGTGGTCCGATATAGCGAATCAGTGGTCAAAGGATGAAAGGAGAATCTTAGAAACATCCTGGCGCAAGTCAACTCTCAAAACGTATGCCGTTGCATGGAAAAGTTGGCAATCGTGGGCGAAGAAAAGAAGAGTTTCAGTTAAAAATCCAAACCCCACGCAGGTGGCTCAATACCTCTGCTTCCTACACAACACAAGAAAATTGGCGCTTAGAACGATCCTATTACATAAATCCACCATTGCGACATTCTCCAATCCACTACATAGTGAAGGAGTTTCCAGTAGCCCAACAGTGAAACAGGTAATTAGAGGTATTGCAAATGCAAATCCTCCAGCAACTAGGCCAAAGATTTGGAACATCGATAAACTTCTATCTTGGATTAATGATAACCATCCAGATACGAATAGTATCTTTCAAGTGGCCCGGCATCTATCGCTGCTTTTGCTGCTATCATCGGGAAGGAGAGTCCATGACTTGACACTCCTTCGAATAGATTCTGGTTTCTTTGAACAAACCGAAGAATACATAATTTTCTGGCCACAACATGGATCTAAGACAGACAAGCATAACTACGTCCAGTCAGGCTGGAAACTCCTCAAAAATCGAGAATGCATCTGGGATCTAGTACACTGGACAACCATATATCTAGAAATATCAGAAAAGAGAAGGAACCTCCACTGCCGACCGATTCCTCAACTATTCGTCACAACTCGTGGGAAGATAGGACCGGCATCTCGGTCAGTGATAGCAGGATGGGTCCGCACAGCGTTGAAATCGGCAGGTATAGAAGGAGGAGCCGGCAGTACCCGCTCGGCAGTGGCAACATCCCGCTTCAATGATAACATGCCATTGGATGAGGTTTTGCAGAAAGGAAATTGGCAGGGATCAAGCAATTTCTTCAAACACTACTATAAAAATATCGATAAGGATTTGGTACCTGACAACAGCAACAGAAGACTTATTTCGGATAAATTTATCCCTATATAAGTATTATCATGGCTGTGAGCCAAGAATGACTGTTACTTTTCTTTTTATGAACTGTTAGAGTTATCATATTCTGTTTATGTCCTTGTATTGTTGATATTTTCTGTAGGGAAAATATAGAAAGTTCAGTATGGTTTAGTGTACCTTTTTTTTTTTTTTTTTGGTCTTCATACTATAACCATGTCACAGTACGCTTTCTAACACCGTGGCGCGCCGGCAGATTGTAAACACTTCTCAACGGTCAGGCCGTAGGCACAGAGCCGAAATAGAACAATTTTCCCCCTGAAGGGAAGAAAATTGATATTTCGGGTCTTGCCATAGGCCTGACCTAGGTAACGCCTTGCCGGCGCAAGAGTACTGAAGGGCGAGCGGGGAATCGCTCGCCACTAGCCAGCGCGCGCATCGCTCCAAGGAGCATGGGCGTACAGAAAGGGGAGGAGGACGAAGGTAAGGGGGACTAGAGACGCACACATACTGACTCCGGAGCTGTAGATAGGGAACGTAATCTCAACGGTCAGGCCTATGGCAAGACCCGAAATATCAATTTTCTTCCCTTCAGGGGGAAAATTGTTCTATTAATGCATTTTAATAAATTCACACAGTATTGTTGTATTTTAAACCCGTTTCAATTTAATTTTTTCAATTTAAAGCATGCTTAGTGCCGACTATTGTACAAATATATTGACCTATAGCTGACATCTCATGTATGGCACACTGAGCCTTGGGTAGTCAATAAACTTCTTTCTCAGTGTGCATCTGATAAATATACTGATGAGCATAACTATAGCTCCACCAAAAATTTTCGTTTTTTCTAGTTGCTTTAAATGTAACTTTATATAACTTACAGGGATGAATTTGTTGTTAAATCAAAAATAAGCTCTATACAGCAATTATGCCTGTAGGTTATATGCACTTACTTGAACCGAATGAGAGAAAGCTGAGTGCTGAGTTGGTGATGTTACAGTTATGCGCTCAGGTTTATTATTAAGGGAACTCTAGCTTTTAAAAGATACTTTTTCACTTCATGATCTATGGGTCTCTTGGTAGTGATTTTCAACGATTCGGAAACTTCTATAACAATATAAAATAGCAATAATTGTTACCACAACATCAGGTTGACTTATGGCACCCCGTATTTCCTCCACCACTGCAGCTAGTTGATTCCGGACTGTGGTTTTAGAACTAAGAAGCGGAAGAGATAGTAGGGCGGCTGATAAGCTGTTTTTTGTTATGATTTTCTCTTCAATTTTTGGTACAGTCATTGGTATAGGCATCGAAACTGGTACAGAGCTTGGAACTTCCTTGCTATTCTGGAAAGATAATAATATATATTTTTGCTCGGGTAATGAAATATCAAAATAAGAAAGAGTAGCAAAGCGCGCGTTGTATCCCACTATTATAGTCTGGTACCAAAACGTAAAAGAGTAGCCAAACACATGATACCACCAGTGCTAATGCGGCGCAACTTTGCCGATACAACGCACGCCGCGCTAGCAGTGATTTACGGTGTGTTTCTTCCGTTTTGGTACTAGACTAGCATGACTACCTGACTATACACGGTGTCCCACTTCAATCTCATCACCTAATTATTTGAAAAGCGTGGGAAGTAAAAGGAATTAAGTGGATCAAGTGAGCCAAACAGGACCATACATTTAGTCCATAGTCCCTAGCCATTTGGTAACGCTGCTATGGTAAATTTGTTCACTGCCGTCACTGAAAACATTGGTCATCTGGCAATCTCAGCCACGCTCTACACTATGGCGCACCGCGCAGACAGGATTTTGTGGCCACCTTTGTAAGTTCGTAGTGTATGGCAAGTGCGACCTAGATGTGACACGCCCGTTTGATATTTCGCCAAGCTTTAAGGGTAAATGTATGGGGAAATCTGTGATGCATGATATATGTACTAATATAATAATAATAATAATAATCGACTTTATTGGAAACATGCTATACAGATAGACATATGATCCAAAAGGCGGAGTTCACAAAAATAGTGTTCTTCCACTCAACCCCGAAAATTGACAAAAAAAAAGAAAATGTATACCTACATGCAAGTATCTGAGCGTAAAAAAGCATGGTCATGCATTTCAAACGCATTCATAAATACGTACATACATATATAAACTAGCAACAACTTGAGAATACCAAGTTGAAACTAATATCAAAAAACTTAATCAAATGAGAAAGAATATTTTGACATAACGTAAGCCTTAGCGTGTTTTTTTAAAAATATCAGCGTCATAGACTTAAGGTCCGAAGGTAACTGATTATACAACTTATAAATACAGTATGAAAAAGATTGTTTATACTGAGAAGTCATGTGACATGGAGGACTTATCAAATTCTTGCTTCTCACATTGACATTATGATTCAACCCTCAATTGAACTTTACTACATAAATACTGTGGTACTTGACTCATCATCACTTTATGATATAGTACCAAACAGTGAAGTATTCGGCGCTGACACATTTTCATCCAATTTATCTCCTTAATTTTGTGACTGATGTGTTCTCCTCTAGGAGTTCCACAAATCAGACGCGTGCATGAATTTTGCATGAGTTGAATTCGATCATTGTCAGCTTTAGTTATACGGGAATGATAAACGTCACAGTGATTAAACGTAGAAAGGACTAAAGAATCGCAGAGTACGTTTCCAATTATGGCTCAATATCCTTCTTTGAGCATAAATTAGTTTTAATTTAGGAAATGATGCCCTAATTTTGTTTGTGATGTGGCCATGAAAACGGAGGTCATTATCAATTAGGACGCCAAGATTTTTGACACTATCTTCTAAAGGTATAAGCTTACCATCCAACTCTAAGCTGATAGAACTAGAAATATCATTTCATGCTTTTTTCCTATCAAAAATGATAGCTTTTGACTTATCCGGATTTAAGACTAAGCAATGGTTTTTAGAGGCTATGCTCAAAGACAGTAAGTCAGAATTAATTTTGGCTGCTGCTAGCACGATCTGCTCTGATTTAAAAGACGTATATATTTGCGTGTCATCGGCATATGCATGTAAAGAGCAGGTCTTAAGGCATGCGTGCAACTGTGACGTATAAATAATATAGAAGAGAGGCCCTAAAATAGAGCCTTGGGGTACACCACTGATGAGAGTTTTAGGTTCAGAAAAAATCTTGTTGATTTTAACCATTTGTTTACGGTTAGATAAATAATAATGTGCGTACAATCAGCGGGGCTGAAAGCGGTTTGAATATATCACTGCCAAAAAATAGAGATATCTTCTACCCACCCCTATAACCCCCAACCCCCAAATATTTTTCCGAAAATGATCGGAGCCTCTGAATTGTCAAAAAACGAAGTTTGATTCATTTTAATTTTGTTCGTTTTTTTGTCCATCGCTACGCCACCACTGGATCGATTTTCAAAAACTTCAAACCTGTTTCGTCCTTGTAGAGTGAGTAACCTTATAGCTTTCTAATTTATGAAGTGTTCAGCGAACAGACAGACATGCATACAGAGACCAACGAAAATGAGTCACATGGTTGTTCGTGACCTACACTGGAGCCAAATTGGTCTGATGGCTTGAGTTCAGTGTGTATAGACACATATGTTAGAAAGAGATAGAGCCGCCTGGATAGCGAAGCGCATATCCGCGTGCCTAGCAACGCTGACGCAGCAATCTGCCGCTTTGCCAATTGTTATACCAGTTTCATGAATTAAAATGCCTATTGAAAATATAATAATTATATATTATAATAATTTGTATTACTTAACGTTATTTGTTATATTTTCCTACCGCAGCACTGCCACAAAATATAACAATAACTCAGGATGTGTATTCTAAAATAAATGAAAACACTAAGCCGCATCAAAATTGAAATAAATAATTTAAATCAAAATGAAAACAAAATATTAGATGAAATGTTCGAACAGACCTCCTTGTGCGTCACCTTTGCTAGGCAGCGTGCGTATAAGCTTCGCTATCCAGCCGGCTTCTATCTATTTCTAACATAAGTGCCTTACACACTCCTCTCGCTTCTCTCTCGTATACATTGAACACGCACCCATCAGCCAAATCTGGTTTACTCTGTATATGTCACGTAACATCTAAGAAAGAATATCTCAGTTTCGTAATTTTTCACGATTACAATACTTCCTCGCCAATTGGCGTGGGAAGTAAACGCGCTCTGTTCAGTACGTAACTAAGCAATAACAAATCATCAATTTGTTTAGATGACTGTATTTGCCTCTTTGGCAAGTCAGTCAAGCTTTTTGAAATGTCTTCTTACAAATACTTGGCATGTTCAAACCTGTTTTATAAGTGTACGCGCCAATTCGAGATGGGCTGAAGGGATTATTTTATTACCACCAAAACTATCATATTTCAAATGAGTTATCGAAAATGGTCGGAATAATATAAGACTAGCATAGGGCACTGCGTATACAATGGCTACAAGAACAAGAGAACCTCACCATGTTATAGAATCTTCGTAAGGCTCTGGAAATTGCTATAAGTGCTACAGCACTAAGCATACCACCTGGTACTTCATTCTTCATTTGTTTCATAGCATCCAGTAGTCGCTCTCCATCTCGCTCTGTTGAATAGACAACGTACTTGTCCCTTGAAAGCCTGGTTCCGTGTAAAATGTTTTGGTTGTTTTTAAACCGAAGCATTCCTCTCTTCAATATGTATGGACCCATCATCACAAGCTGCAGAAGCCTCAGGTAGTTGTTTTTGAGTGAAGTTGAAATAGCAGATTTTTGATGTGCTTTATTCCTATTGAAGGCTCTCTTAGTCAATTTATCTAAATGATCATGGATTTTTTGCTGATCGTCTGTTAAATTTCTGAGTAGGAAATTGACAATAGACATGCCATCGCCCATAGCGTGGTGAAATCGGAAAATAACCACATTCGTATGCACACCATTTTCAGCATTCTCTACTTTTAATGGTTGCTTTATTGTTACCACTTCCCATAATACACTGTTATTACGAGGTAAAGGTCTTGTGGCACACTCTGACAAAACGTCGGTCAAATCACTCTTCTCCATGAAGTCTTTATTTGAATCTCCACAATCTAGCATAGTAATACAATCTAATTTATTATTATTGTCTTTCAAATAAAAGACGTATCCCATGAAAGAATGGCACGAACTACATAGCTTCAAATCTGTAAGGGGATGATTGTGAACCATTGGGTTCTCTATAATATCTTTTTTGAAAGAGAGATTGAATTGCTCTGATTTCATTTTTGAATCCATCAGTACTACTGTGTTTGTGATATGCTCAGAGTCGTCATCTCCCATCCAAATTACATCTCCAGGGGACATGAAGCCTCCGAATCTCTTGCCGTATTTTAGCTTCAGAAACAAGCATATAAATTGTCTGAATATAAGGACTATAGCTAAGGTGATAGCCTGTAATACTAAAATTATCATTGAAATCACCAGAAGCCTAAGTTGACTGGGTTCTCCGCCAGTGCGTGGCAGATTGGTGGTTTCTTCCTTGGATCTCTATGAAGAGAAAATAACTTTATATTTCACACACATCAGCATGAATCTAGCTACCTAGCTTTGAAGATCGACAGAACGGCGCGGGTAGGTACTACGTATCTTGAAAAGTGACATTGTGTCGGTTTTTTGACATTATATTGGTTTTTTGTGACATTATGTAGGTTTTTTGTGACATTATGTAGGTTTTTCTACAAGATGTTAACTTAGCACTAGCTGATGGACACTTGTTGTGAACTAGTTTTGTAGTGGTACATGTTGTCTAAACGACACGATGCTTCAGATATCAATGTTTGGCTCTAGTGACATTATTGTAGGTACAAGCTGTAAGTTGTATACTATAGCTTTCTAGCCTTATGGAAACGGCAGCGCTTAGGTGCGTCGTGAGGATTTGTGTGCTAATAATATGTGTTTATGATAATTCCAAAGGTTTCTTGTCTCAAATACACTGACATGGGATGTATTCGAAGCTAGAAATTAGTTGCGAATCTACTTTTTCGTATGGTTTGTTCATACAGTAATCGGTAACTTGTCGGAGACTGTCAAAATCAGAATCAGAGAGATGTTACCTGTTCGTACAGTTTCTGACTGTTTGCCGACAGCTAATCCGCTGTTCGTACAGAACCTTCTGACAGATCAGAGGATACCACTCAACCAGTGACAGTGACAGGTATCAGAGTGTTTTGAAATTATCTTGAGGGCTGAAACTATTTCGCAAGAGGCATTTAATGATCGATTACTCTTTTTTAATGGACGGTTTGGTGACACCTTCGTACCGACGGGACGTTGGCGATGTAGCTACGCCAACGGGCTTTGCTGCTCAGAGCTCTCTTCCATGGTGTCGCAGAGCGATATGCCTGCCTGTCTTCGGCCTCCCAGCGTAAGAGTAACTTTAGGCAGTTCAAAAATGGGAATAACAAAGTTTCTTTAAGCTCCTGAAAGCAGCCGCGGTGCCTTGGCATGTAGGGTTCGCCTGCGCGGCTGCTTCGGTGTAAAAAAAGCTGAAACCCAAACACCTTAATTTTGTAGAGAAAACAGTGCCACAATTCCACAGAAACAAGTTTTTGTAACATTTTCAGGTGAGCAAGTGGCAGAAGAAATTTTAATGAAATTCCATTTTAAATATCAGCTAGCGCCAAAGTGCTTTGTGCTCAATATTTTGTTTATTGTCCCGATAATGGAAACTAAGGCATACGAAGTCGCTTAAATAGGGTAGTCAACAAAGTGACACTTAGAAAGTTTCAAACTTCAAACTACTTCCGTAGAGTAACGGAAAAACTGAATTTTCCCATAACTGCTCCGATTTTTTTCTGACATTATTTATATTGTAATTTTAAAATAAATTGCACATTAACAGTGCCACGTTTTCTCCTCTACAAGAAGGCATAATCAGAATTTCTATATGACGGTTCGTCTCTTGTCCTCCAGCATCAACTTTATTATTTCTTAAGGACGCTATTTTGCATTTTTGCACAGATGAATAGAGTTTTTAATTTTGATTCAAAAAATGCATAATACGTCATACACTGACGTTGTCAAACCTTGATTACTTTAAGAAAAACAGAATTTCTTAAGTGGGCCCTGAAATTTGTTTCGATCACCAGATTTATTCCAAAACCGCTCTATTTTTTCCCAACTCTTTTCGAGATGGGATTTCAAAATAAATTGCATATTGTCATTGTTACTTATTCTCGTCTGCAAGATGGCGTAGTCAAATTGTCAAATCGACATTTCTTCACTATATTGGAATTGTGTACATTTAAATGGACTCTTTAACTAAGGTTTTTCAATGTCAATGTATGACATACATTTTTTAAATCAACTAACTGCGCAAACTAGGTCATGACTTCTCGCCGACTATCAGTTTGCTGATTGTCAGCAAATAGGCTGTACGAACAGACCATTATTCATTCTTTAAATAACATATATGCAAATTTGCTGAATTTCAAAAATGAGAGAGATAATAGAAGAAAATCGCTGGTTGGTGAAGGAACAGGTGAGAAAATATGATACAGACAGAAGCATTTATCAAAGTGAAAAGGCTATTACATTGTTTTTATTATATTTTATACACATTCAGACCAATACACATAATCATCCAGATGCGATCTTGCTATTCAAACAACTTTCTTTCTCTCACATCTTCTCTACAGACTACTCGGCTTCAAAATATATATACTCGTACATACTTGCTCTCTGCAACCAACAATGCGAGTAATTGAGTCATTCCTCCATAGATGGACGCTGACAGCGATCATAGCGAGCAAACATGGAGTGAACTATTTGCACCCTTAAAACTACATAGTCTGCAAGATGACATTTTATTGGGTTTTTTGCAGACTAGGTAGTTTTTATTATGCCAATATGTAGTTTATTCCACGTTTGTTCACTATGATTGCTATTCGCTGACGTTTAAGCAACACGTACAGCAACAAACGAGTTCACAACAAGTGGCTTGTGACTAATTTAACATCTTGTAGAAAAACCTACGTTATGTCACAAAAAAAGCTACGGAATGTCAAAAGACCGACGTTATGACATTTTTCAAGATACGTAATAACCATGCCGATCGTCTTCACAATAACTATCAATCATTGAAAAACACTATACAGAAAACATCTCTAAGTATAATTAGCGATTCTTTGAAATTCAAATAAAATGTTTTCTACATAATGACATGAGCTTTACCTTTTTCAGGTTTAAATTTTATATTTTGATTTGTGAAGTGGATACGATTAAATTATTTTTTTTTTCGAATGCTACTCACCTTTGACAGCATTCTGTCTCGCCGGGGATACAAACAAAATGAGGTTTAGCAAATTTCCCACAAACAAACTGTAATAAATAATCGTGACCGGAACAAAATAAATATTTGTGCTTTAATTACGCTTATCTCTTTTCCATACAAAATCTGAAAATGAGTACATGACTCTACCAAATTACTCCAATTTAGATTCGTACATAAGAACCTCATATACTAGAAAAATTTCGATACTTATTTTCAGCTTGGTTTATTCATTTTCTGTACACGCCCTAGCTCTGAGTGCTGCTCGCATGTTTTGGGTGCTGCTGCCCCGACAACATTATCCATGCTTGATGCTGTCTGCAGAGAAAGGCTGTCCGTCGGTGACTCTTCTCTAATGGTCAGTCTCGGGATCTTTTTGCACCGACGGGCCGTCGGCGATCTGGATCTCTAATACCGCTACGGGTACATCCTTTGCTTCTCAGAGCGCCTGCCAAATAGACCTGCCTGACTTGGGGCTCCCATCCAAACCTCATACATCGAAAACTGGCCGGTGCGACCGCTCCTTTGTCCCTAGAGTGTCGAGATGTGGAAGAATTTGCCTGAAGAGGCTTTTCCTAGTTCTACTAAACTTAGGCAGTTCGTATTAACAAGTGTCAGTTTATAAAAAACATTTTATACGTAAGTTTATGTGACATCCAGAGAAAAGCTGAATGGACGTGGATGGACATAGATAAAAGTGCATCTTGCGATAGATGCAGTTAGGTACACTTTTCAGTGCATGTTCTGTTGTTCGGTATTATGCGAGTTGACAAGTTGCACTTGACTACCACTTTGCTTCGAATTTACCAATCTTAAGACTCCGACCTTTTGGCAATGCGGTACAGTTTTTACGTGAAAATGCTGATTTATCAATTATAAATATCTTCCAGAATGGTTCAAAAAAACAATATTGCTTGCCAAACGCTTGCCAGAATTTAATAATAGAAAATGCAAGAAAATAATACACGATATAATACAGGGTGCGGCAGAGAGGACGGATGTTTTTGGGATGGGTAGTACTCTCCGCCTCCGTCTACGAGAGAGGTGGGGAGGGTTGACTCGTGAGATCCTAGCATTATTTTACCAGTTGTCGTTATGGAGCCTTGGACGGTGGAGCACCGCGTTTTAGCCTGTGAGTGACGAAGCCCACTTTCACCTAAACAGCATGGTTAACCAGCAGAATTGTCGTTATTGGGCTAATGAAAATCCGCAACAGTTACACGAAAAACCGCTGCACAGCCCAAAAGTAACGGTTTGGTGCGCTGTATCGCAAACCTGCATCATTGAACCTTACTTCTTCGAAGACGGTAATGGTCGTGATGTTACCGTGAACTCGGAGCGCTACGTCGACATGATCACCAACTTCTTTCTCCCTGAATTACGACGGCGACGTGTTCCAATCCGACGTGTGTGGTGTCAGCAGGATGGGGCGACCGCCCACACAGCCCGAGCATCTATGGACGTTATTCGCCCTCTCTTCCCTGGTCGCCTTATTTCCAGGTTTGGCGATGTTCATTGGCCTCCTCGGTCCCCAGATTTATCCATATGCGATTTTTTCTTATGGGGACACCTCAAGGCTAGAGTATACGCGAACAAGCCCCGAACTCTGGACGAATTGAAGGGCGAAATTCGCGTGGCAGTCGCCCAAGTTGAGAGAGCGATGTTGGAGAGAGTTTACGCGAACTTCCAAGAACGCCTCCAGCACTGCATCAACGATTTCGGCCACCACATGCCTGATGTGATTTTCCACACTTGACTGTCTCAAATGCTATGTCCTTGTGAACCTGATTGCATCAATAAATTTCTTTTCGAGTAAAAATTTACTATTTTATGATTTTTTTAAAACCATCCATCCTCTCTGCCGCACCCTGTACAATAATGGGTTGCCGTAGATGAGAGAATTATTGGAAAGAAAAGTGAAAACACGCATTTTTCCTTACTACCACCGAATCTTGTACCTATTTATAATTTGAATTTTATTTATAACGTTTTCTTTAAATCTCAAAATACAATTGAACTAAGCAATTTAAACCGTTGTTTACTCGTTTAGCGCAGATATTGCCTCCTGCTTTCAAAAAATGCCTTTTCTCGTAAATATAAATTTCAGTTTTGGAAATATTATGAAATTACTGAATCCAGGATTAGCGAATAAGGTGAATAATCGACCAGTTCAAAGCCTGCTTAGTGTAGTGCAGCCATAAAACAAAGTTGTAATAGCACTGCGAGGCGATGAAAGTACCCTAAACACGATAATAAAAAATGGCGTCAAATCGGTTAACTCTGCAATTTCCACGCCACGCCGTTATCAGTTCATAAACCGTTCAGCACAAACTAGACCCTCTGAGAAAAAGTCAGTCAAACAGGTCCATACAATTAGTGAGATTATTTTTCTAAGTGCTAAGGGCTAATGTGTGGATAAATCTATGAGGTGTGAGAGATGTCTAGTAGGTGCGTAGGATTTCCAAAATTGGGATCGTATAAATGTACTATTATCAAAAAATTAAGATAAACCCTTCCCCTACAACCCCACCCCCGAGCTTTTAACCTGTAAGGATTTTATCGAAAGTGATCAGCATGCTCTGAAACGTCAAAAAAACGAATTTTGAGCTGTGTTTAGCCTTTTTCGTTTTTGGCCTTTTTCTCTGCCGCCATTGGACCGATTTTCAAAACCTGCAAAGCTTTTGCGTTCTTGGCATAGTAGTAACATTGTGTAAAAATGTTATCCAAATCCGCCAGACCGCTGGAGAGGCAGATAAACACACAAACCGACGAAAATGAGTGACATGGGTTTTAGCGATGTAAAAGTCCAAAAAACATAACATCTCGTTTGCGAAAATTTTTGCGATTGCGATGTTTATGCAAAGAATTCCCGTTTTTTCCTCAAGCTTTTGGTCATTTTGTGTGGTAGTAAAATTTGATTGTTCCGAGAAAAAATCGCCAACTAAACCGACTACTACTTTCTTCATTGAGGCTAATAAATGGTGTATGTGCATTAAGTGAATCTATGTTTCATCCATGTTTTGCATCTTACAAACTAGTACAGCTAGAAATAGTTTACTCTCGTCCAGTAAACTTCTCCATTGTTTACTTTCTGAAACAGCTTGTTCACTTGCTTCAAGGATCTATCGACTAGTGACAAGAAAACCGTTCATCTAACATTGTATCTACTTTAATAAAAAAAAAAGTTAGTTTCAGAAAGTATGATGAATAATTGTGCTCTACTTGGTAAACGGCTTCCATTTAGGCTTTCATGTTCGCTTAAAGTTTCGCGAATCAAAATGCAAACGATTTGTGGCATGTTTCGTCGTTTATTTAAAGCATCGTTCGAACCAAAATTTTAGACCGGCTCTCCAAATTGTTTAAGATACTATCAACTCCTAACATGAATCGGAGGGGAACGGCTTTAATATTTTCATCCATTCGTGCAAAGGCTTAGAAAGATTAGGTACTTACTACGAGTATGTGACAATTCCCTGAATAAAACGTGAAACTCGTCATACTCCATCATAATTTCTATTTTTGAAACATTCTATGTAATACTCAAACAGACAAAAACATGATGTTTTCTTATGCTATACAGGGTGTAAACGTTATGATAGTCATTAATATTAAATTGGTGATAGAGGGGGTTGAAAGAAGCAAAAAGTTTCATATAACATAGGTGTCAAAACGGCATTTTTTAGAGAAAAGCGACTGTAAAGGAAAATAAAATCTGGCAACGCCGCAATGCCAGATGCAAATTACGACGGAATGCAGTGTAAGTAAAGATGGAGTTTGTTATTTTTGGCTCTTAGGTATTATTTCATTATTTGATAATGTACCTACTCGTAAAATGCAAACAATTAAAAAAACGCGCTTACCACTAACTGTCTCAGCGCTTCACCTGGTGTGTAAAAGTTTATTGAACGTATTAAAAAATCCACTTATAAATAGGGAACACAATTTTGATACATACGTTGTTTTTCTTTTCAAAACCCACACTGCACTTTTTTGTATTTAAAGAAGGTGTTCAAAATGTCGTCCTCCACTTTCCACACAAGCTTCATTACGACGAACCCAGTTTCTTCTTACTCTAGGTCCTCGAAGTTGTCCATTTATTATTTCAACCGCATAGAAATTTTTTCGCGAAGTTGTGCTTCAGTTGTTATTGGACCAGACCCATAAACCATCCTTTAAGTTCTCCCCAATACCAGAAATCCATCGGATTGAGATCAGGAGATCTTGCTGTCCATTTTCGAGGATCAGGAGCATTTCGACCGATCCAGCGATTTGGATAATGTTGATTCAAATACTGAATGACGCCTCTAAAAATGTGTGGTGGTGCCCCGTCATGAAGAAACCACAAATTCTGTCTCCGTTGTAATGGCATGTTGTCTAAGGTTTGTTCCAAAAGTTCTGGTAGGTTATTTTCTAGAAAGGTAAGGTATCCTTCTCCTGACAACTTTGGGGGTAACTCAAAATTACCAATTACCTGATCGTCAAGAATTCTCGCCCAAATATTTATTTTAAAACGTTGTTGGAAATGACCTTCACGAATGGTATGAGGATTTTCTTGGGCCCACGTGTGAGTATTATCGAAATTTAATATCCCGTCTCGCGTAAAAGTACATTCGTCCGTCGCTAGAATGTTTCTAAAAAATCCGGATTTTCAATGTTTTTGTGCAAAAACCACTGACAGAATGTTAGTCTGCGAGGATAGCCTTCTGGTAACAAGGCCTGCACTCGTTGTACATGGTAGGGATAAAGCAAATTTTCCCGTAGGATTCTATAGACTATGGTATGCGATAGTCCTACGCGGCGGCCCAATTCCCGAGTGCTGATATCTGCATTGATTTCCACGATATTTAAAATTTGTTCCTCCTGTTCTACAGTAACCTGTCTTTGACGAGTGCGAATATTAGTGGGCTGAACACTTCCTGTATCTCGAAGTCTTCTGTACACTTGCACAAAGGTCCTTCTGTCTGGGTGTTCCCGTTGGCGAAATCTGTCGCGATAAATTTGAGCTGCAAGATTTGAATTCTGACGAGCTTCACCGTAAACTAACAACATATCGGCGAACTCTTGATTCGAGAACATTGTAAATAAACATGACGACGTACGCGAACAAAAACAAAACAACACGCCCGATGCTCTGCTCGACAAAACGATAAAGTGATTTATCTATGCAAAACGATAACTAACCACTGTTACCATTTGCGATCGATTGCCGGTTCGATAAGAGTGATGAAAGACCGTCGCGCTGTTGTCATGTGTGTTTTAAACATATAATTTAATGAAACTTACTTACTTACTGACTACCAATTTTGGCCTAATGCCATTTATTTGTTAATTACCCAATTTGAAAACGTTTTAGATTAGATTACAAAAATTGGTAAGATTGTGGTGCTGAATACAACAAAAGTGCAGTGTGGGTTTTGAAAAGAAAAACAACGTATGTATCAAAATTGTGTTCCCTATTTATAAGTGGATTTTTTTAATACTTTCAATGAACTTTCACACACCAGGTGAAGTGCTGAGACAGTTAGTGGTAAGTCCATTTTATATAATTGTTTGCTTGTTTGAATACAACGTAATTTACCTAAGAAATAATGTAAAATGTTACTCGGTCTTTCCCATGTTCAACAGTGGACCACCATATCAAAAAGTATTTGGAATATTCGCATAGATATAAACATCGAAGAAACGAAGCAAAAATCATGTAGATGAAAAAAGGATTTTGGTTGAAATCCCTCACATTAGTCACAATACTTATTATAAAAGTATAAACCTGTAGCTAAAAGTAAAACAGACGTAAGTCCAAAACTCAAAGTTTTCAGTATTAAACAAAAGAAGTAAACGTTTCAGCAAAGATTACATGCAAATATTAGATTTTCTACCAACATTATGTTGCTTATGATTGTTTGCTATAATATAAAGCTAAACTAGTGCAATTTAATAGTAACATAAGCTCAAAACTGCGTCAATTTCGACTTATGACTGTTTACCTCTGAGCTACAGAAATAATCTTACTTAGGTAATATTTGCGGTGATCGTGGACTTCCTTTTAGGTATAATTGATCACATATTTAACAAAAGTGTTAGGTGCTCACTAGAAAATCTGACCTTTCCTTCATTTCATCCCAATATTTCTCTACCATCTTTATGTGTCGATATGTGCTTTTTATTTTTAGAACCAATGGGAAATCGAGTACAGCCATAGAGAAGTTATTTGCTAGCACTGCCAGTTTCTCCATATCTGGCATTGAGATCATGGCGGACACCATGACGCTCGAAAAGTCCGGACACTCAACCTGATTCTGAAAAAAATGACGTCAAATAGGTTGACACTGTACGTCCTATGCAATTCTAGACAAATAGACATTGTATGTGCATCTGAGACAACTTTTCTACGCTCTGATAAGCTTACTGTTGGACGGCTATGGAAATCCTTACAGCTGGTCATATAAGTATCTTATATGTCAAGCAATTTTATGCATATGGTTGAAGAAAAAGTATTGTCGGTTTGATTTTCTTTTCCTTGAGTAATCGAGGACAACTTTCGTGCCGTTGGAGTATTTGCTTGAGGAAAAGGTACTCATTCCACGAATTATCTCCATATTCTCAGAAGACACGTCCATTCGTTATTTCACACGTGACTAACTACGCAGCCGTAATGTTGAAACGAGTGTTACATCGCCGTGCGACGTTGAACTCTTCTGTTGAAGTAACAAATTCGTCGCGTAGATGTCTGCCCGGCAGCAAATAGCGGCAAAACATATGCGTGAAATATGCCGAATAGGTGCACCGAATTACTGGAGTTTATAAATATTGGGTACCTCTCAAAATGTATTTAAAAGTGATCACGAGTCTCTGAAACGTCACAATAATTGAGTTTGAGCGATTTTTTTTCCTGAACCTCCACCGCCACTGGATCGATTTTGAATAACTACAAAGCATTTTCGTCCTTAGCATAGTATCATTGTTTAAAAATTCCATCAACATCCGAGCAGTACTTTCTAAGTTATAAACGGGCCAAGAATTGGCGGACCAACAGAAAGACAGACCGACAGATAGACCGACAGACAGACAGGCGGAAACGTAATATATCATTTTCAATTTTTTTTTCGCGATTCCAGAAGTTCCTCGCCAGTGGCGTAGGAAGTAAAAATGGAGTTGAAGATATTGACTCGGTACTTGCAACACATTCTGATATTCTAGGTATAACAAAACTAACGGAACAGCTCTGTGTTTTTCCAGGTAATGCATTTTTTATTAGGTTCACTTTAAACAATGAATTCAAGGGGCCTTGAATTTCTCTTCAAGATTACTTCAACATCAACTTTTGTTTTTTTTTAATATTAGGCCACCTTTTTTACATCGGCAATTGAAAGTGCGAAAAACTCTGCGTCCGGTTGTGTATGAAAATCTAATATCAAGGTCACATCTAAAGGCCAAATGTAGATGTCACTTACTGTCTGCTTTGCTGCAGTATGATCTGGCCTCTTGCTTGCAGATAACCAAGATATTTGTACCATTCTCCCTTTTCCATTCCGGCGATGGTTTGCCGCTCAGCAACTTCATATCCCGCGTGATGTACCCATTGACCCTTCTCCATCCCGCTGGTCCTACATTTGTCCAGCCCAAATGACATTTTTATGTCACGACTGAATCGAGTGACACAAGTCAGAAGGTCGACGAGGTGTTTTTTAGATTTTGCGTACAGCTTTAAATCATCCATGTACCAAAGGTGGCTAATATTCTTGTCTGAGTGTGGCAGTATATAACCTTTGCGCTGCCTATTCAACACAGTTGTCAGAGGTCGCAGCGACAGACAGAACCATAGCGGACTTATACTATTCGTCATTTGTTTGTCTGGGCGGTCCGTAGGACCTTTGCCCATTAGTCACTGTCTGATGTACGTTAGTCAAATCTGTCAGTACTGATTGCCCAGAAACCAGACAGTGTCAAGGAAAAAAGAGAAGAAAAAAGGAGAAGAGCAAAGAATTAACACGGCGGCCAAACCAACATCTCGATAAGCAATAATTCTACCTCTGTCAAAGTCTAGCATGGTGATAATTTGGACGTCTTCAAACTCGAAGCATTTCGTTATGCTTAACACTAGTAAATGAAAGGGCATTAACTAAAAATATCTGTGTTACTCGGCTCTCAGAAAATGCTTTCGTCACAAAAACTAAGAGATAACATTTCAACAAAAGGCAAACAAAAACAAAGATAAAATGTAAATATAATCATTATGTTACCAAAAAACAAGTTGAAAAAAAATTTTTTTTGATGTAACACTTCTAATGTCACTGAGTATATACCATAACATGCCTGCCAGCGATACTGTCAGACGCAAGGCAGGGTTCGGCGTATGAAAATCGCCGTTGCATCGCATCATCCCGACCGACCGCGCGTCTCGTCAATAAATGTTCCTTCAAGTTGTAAGGGGAAATATTATACATAATGTACGAGGAAATATTTAATGCGTGGAATGTGTACTAATAGGTGCGTAAAGTTACTGGAGATAGACAAGATATATCTTCCCCACCCCTCAATTTTCAATCTCTACAAAATTGTTTGTGAAAATGATGAGCCTCTAAAACGACAAAAAATGAAGTTTGAACGATTTTTATCGTAGGGGCAGTACTTTCTAAGTTAAATTAGAGGACAGACCGAAAGACAGAGAGGGATAGACAGACAGACCGACGGAATTGAGTGGCATGGTTTTTCGTGATGTACGTGTCATATAACATCCGAAAAAAAACAATATATCAGTTTCGAAAATGTTTGCGATTACCAATACTTGCTCGCTAGTAAGCCTGGGAAGTGGAAACAATAAAATGCGTATTTCGCAAACCGCATATATTGAAATATAAATATGTTACAAAATTGATTCTGCTTAAAAAACATTTGACTTCCATAGCTTTGTGCATATGAATTATAAAAATGCTGACATTCTAAGTTAGAGAACTGCGTGCCCACTGTGCCACTTCAGTCGGCAACCCTGAAGACTTTTTCACAGCATCCAGGATCTGTTCAGGTGTAACCAACAGTTTGAAGAATTGGTACTCCTTCTGAACCTTAGAACCAGTGTTTGATAACATAGATATCAGCTCTAGACCCTAAAAATAATACAAATCACACACAACAAAACCCTGCACAATAAATATCCCAATAATATTTCCAATAAAATTCTAGACATCTTTATGTTAAGATGTAAAAAATAAGAACTAGATAATGCAAAATCTATATCTAACCTGAATATGTTCAAAAGCCTTCAACATAACAGCTCGTTGGAAATTTTGAATGCCAGCATTTGCATTGGCAAACTTCATGAACCTGTTATAAATCATTTCAAAATTCATTGGATTATTGTCATAAATCTCTAGGTGATGCTTCATTGATATGATAAGGCACAATTCCAGTACAGTTAGGTCCTGCAACACTTTGATCATATCATCTTCCTCCAGGATATTTAACTCTTTTTGGAACAAATCCACAGTCAAATTTTCACCAGTGAAATGAAAAATTACTTTCACCTGCAAAATTATTAATTAATCAAGACCCAGTAGACTTATGTGTTTGGAGAAAAAAGTGGTTTACTAATGAACCATATTTAAAAAAGTATCACAGTTCTTGCAATATCGAGCTCATCAAAACTCTGATCATATAACGTTTTCAAGACAGTAAAATATGAAATTAGATAAGGAATGTTCAACCTTAGAGATATAGTATATTGATGCTAAATGCGTTTTTAGCGTCGCAGTAACGTCGACCTGTCGGGTGAATCAAATCCCTAGAGTGCATTTATTATACTTACTAAAAAGTCTTTTAGCATCGCTTCACTGTTATCTAAGTCTATCAGTCTTTGTATCACATTTCTAAACTTCTTCTCCTTCAAAAGATTGTTTAAGTTTCTGTTCCACTGCTTTGCTACAGCAGTATTGATTTGAAGCTTCTTATTACCTTCAGGTAATTTCAAATAATACTCGATTTTATTCACTGCATCCCCCACAGTGTGCACGTTTGAAGTTTGGTTTTCATGAGGTAGCAGAAAAATTTGCCTGTGTGAAAATCGCGATTTCACTCTTTTCTCTAGGAGTTCAATAACATCTAACCTACATGTTATTCCTAAAAAAGTGAGCTATAATACATACAGATTCTTTGAATATATATGTTGAATTCATTTTACAAGTGAAGCAAGACTGTCCAAACACAGATGAGGCTGCTAAAGTTGATTTCTGAGTCACTTGTGAAAGAAATTTCATTCCATTTCAACTGAGATATAGTAAAATGAACATGCAATAAGCTGAATGGAACTGAAATGAGATAATCTAAGATTGTATGTAAAAGGAATGTGACTACAGTAAATTATTTTTGTTGAATTCTTCAGTCGATTTTTCCCAAGCATATTTTCTTCAGTGGAAATGAATTTTGTTAAGAAAAAGTCCCAAAAGGTGCTTTTATCTAAAAATAAGTGAAAACAGTCTTGACATGTAACAACTATTCTGCTCTACACAAGAATCAAGGTGTTTTCTTACCTAAAATACAAATAGGGGCCTGTGCTGACTGGGATACATCAAATAAATTATATAACAGAGTTTGATTATGATGACAACAAAATAAATCAAACTCATCTAAAATAAATATTACACTTCTTGATTTGGATTTGTCTCCAGTTCGTAAACATTCTGAAAATAAATACATAAAATCTTCCAACATAATACAACTTATATTAAAAAAATATCTGAATCCTCATCTTCCAATTAAGCATAATTCAATCTAGATAATTTAATGAAAATGGATGTTTAAGCTCAATAAAAAAATGGTTCTCTAAGTTTATAGTTATATTACATGACTATGCTTCCATTTTTGGTACTGGTATATTTTTTTGTAACTGTATTGAATACAGTGGATATGAGTGGATTGAGAAATAACCATCACCAGTCTAGGACTCTAGAAAACTATCTAAAAGGCAAATAAAAATGCTGTTCTATTTACCTAACAAAAATGCCAAGTTTTCTGCAAAGGTACCAAAGACTTTTCCATCAACTACATTGTCCAGCTGCATTTGGCTTGTGGTACTTTTAAGAGCTAATCTATCATCTGTATGAATTAGACCATTCAGCTTCACCAAAATGCAATCAGTGTCAAAGTTGTCTTTATGTTGTATTCTCTCTAGTACTTTATTAACCAACTACAAAGGGGAGAATAATATAGTAGCAGGATATATGCTGCAAAATTATGAATGAATTGATACAAGTTCTACCCAATACATAAAAGCAGTTTAAAAACAAAGGTGAATTTGTGATTTCAATCGAATATTCTGACAAAACATTGACTAATATTTCAGACTCATATAAGGCAGGTGATTTACCAATGTTTTTCCACATCTTCTGGGTCCAATAAGCAGTGCAGAATTTGATTCGCCACAGTCAAGAGTTCGTTCTAATAAGTCAAAGATCTGTTGTTCCTCTTTATCATATCCATGACATTCTTTATTTTCTAATAAATTTTGCTTTAAACATTTGAGGATATGGAGGAGTTTATTTTCCATTTTTTTGAATGCCTGTAGCGACTTCCCGCCCTAAAATAAATTTGTTGTAGGTTCTAGGTTAGGATAACTGTCATGCATGACGTTTAATGTAAGGTATTATTTTTTTCTAAAAATAATATTGGCGGCTCTGAAAACCGGGACCTGTATTTAAAATTTGCCAGTATAAAATATATCAATATAAATCGATTCAACTAAGAAATGGTATTTACCTCAACTAACTTATATATTTTATCCTTACCACTACCATTCAGAATATTAATTATTAAAAAAGTTTTGTACAATCTTTGCATGAGTTCAAAAGTCAAATCACACGCCACTTGCACGCTACTGAGGGATTTTTCATTTCTGACATAATTGTGCTTGTGATGGATGTCTGTTAAGCTTAAGCATCTGTCACTTTTCTAACCTAGAAATTTCAACCGCAAATTTTCTAAAATCAGTGATTTTCAAATACAAAATGCCACAGGGTCGAAGAAAGGTACCATTCAGCGGGAAAGCCAAGAAGGAGCAACTGAAGGCTAAAAGACAGAATAAGCAGGGTAAAAATTCACGTGAATAAGATCCAGTTATGAGGTATCAAAAAACTGAATTTCAGGCCCTAAAAACATCCTTCTGAAATCATCAGAAGATTCTGGAGAGGGTACCAGCGTCCAAAAAATAAATTTTCAGCCTGCGCGAGATGGAAAATCCAAACCAAATAGATATGCTTTGCAGTTTTTCAAAGAGAGTAAGGAACAGGTTGCAAAACAGAAAGAACTAGCACGGCAAAGCTTAGACCCAAAAAGCGAAAAAGATTTGGAAGTTGATGGAGATGATTACTTTGTTAAAGAACTCGATTTCCCCAAGAGACCTGCTTGGAGTTATGATCTTACTAAAGATCAGTTAGAATCTAAAGAGCAGAAATACTTCAATGTAAGAACTTTTTCTCACTCAAACTATCTGAAAATCAAGTTAAAATCACTACAGTTTCTATCAACACTCATAAGGATTGGTGTACAGTTGGTTAACTGCAAATTTTGCTAAACACTAGTTTTTGATAACAGTTATTCTCAACATATGGTTGCTGATGCTTTTTTTGCACATGACTATAACTATCCATTTTTATTATTGTTTAAAAGTGGCAGTGATGTATGTTTGGCACTGCTGTAATCTCAACTCCTTTTAGAAATATATGTATTTTCAGGAATACTTGAAAAGCATTGAGGAAAAATTTGATTGGAAAGAACTAAGTGTTTTTGAGCTCAATTTGGAAACATGGAGACAATTATGGAGGGTTCTAGAAATGTCTGATGTTATTTTATTTATAGTGGACATAAGATTTTCTGTAAGTCTTCAGCAGCAGTTATTGTAACAAAATAAATCACAAAGTTTTTTATTTTAGGCATTCATGTTTCCTCCTTCATTATATGATTATGTAGTAAATATCCTTAAAAAAGATTTTATTTTAGTCCTAAATAAAATTGATCTAGCATCTGCTAGTGTTGTAGTTGCTTGGAAAGCTTACTTCCAAGAAAAATATCCTGACTTGCACATTGTGATGTTCACAACTTTGCCTGGATACAACTTGGTTGGAAAACAATCTGATACTGGAGGTAAGAATCAAATTATACTGCAGCCACAGTGTCATCATATTGCCTTAACACTGCATTATCAGCACAAAACAGATAGCATGCATATATCATGTCAATAATGTATTCCATTAATCATTTTAAAATTCACTTAACTTCGTTAACAGGTCTGCAGGTGAGACGTCGGAGAGGCAAAATTCATATGGCAGCTGAAGGTACCCAGCAGCTATTTGATGTATGTAAACAGTTAGTTGGAAATGAAGTTGATCTCTCATCCTGGGAAAACAAGATCAAGGAGGAGATGAATGTTGAAATTGATACTGATGACCAAGTTGCAATTGAAGAAACACACCAACTCAAGTCTGTAGATACTCAATATTACGAATATGAGAAATACAGCAAGGGAGTGTTGACAGTAGGTTGCATAGGACAGCCAAATGTTGGCAAGTCCTCCCTAATGAATGCCATCATGGGGAAAAAGGTGGTGAGTGTATCAAAAACGCCAGGCCATACGAAACATTTTCAAACCATATTTCTCACAAAAAATGTCAGACTGTGTGATTGTCCAGGTTTAGTATTTCCATCAAAGGTACCAAAGACCTTACAAGTGTTGATGGGGAGTTACCCCATTGCACAACTTAGAGAACCATACACAACAGTCAAATATTTAGGTAAGAAAGTACCAAAATCCCTGAATCTATGGTTCCAATACTTCTCAATTTACAGCTGAGAGACTGGATTTGGTAAAGTTACTAAGAATTGAGCATCCTACCAATGACGACACTTGGTCTGCTATAGATATATGTGATGGCTGGGCTAAAAAACGAAGATTTTATACTGCTAAAGCTGCCAGACTTGATACTTATAGAGCAGCTAATAATATTTTAAGAATGGCTCTCGATGGGAAAATTTGCTTGTGCCATAGACCTCCAGCATATGCTGAAAAGAAAGGTATATTTTTGTTATAGCTCAAAATGTTACTTACAGTCAGGATGTCTACTAATTGAATGTCAGTATTTAAGGGTGCAATTTTTGAGTCCATTTTCAGAGGAAAATTTCATCATATTTACATCCTAAATATCTTAAGTTTTGAGATGCATGGTGGTAAAGTTTTCAAAACAGAAAGTCAATGCGACTGCCTTCTTGAAATATAAATTATAATTATAAATATTCATTTATGATTTGAACTGTTGGATTTTTTTAGCCTGATGCACGCATTTTAGTTAAAGAAATAAGAGCTGTTTCCCTGCATGGTGATATTGTGATATTAACAATGTGATCATGTAGAGAAAGTTTTTATTTTCTTAAGGGAAAATCCGTGCATTGGATTAAAAAAAATCAAGCGATCATATTTGCTTAGAAGTGATTGGAGATTTCAAGAATTTTAAATCAGTGGCGTACCGTCAATGTCACTGATGGTATATGCCAAATTTCATTGAAATATCTAAAGTGGTATTTACAGATAATAATAGAACATTTAATTTTAAAAACTTTACTACCCTATATCTCAAAACTTAACATGTTTAGGACATATGTTCACATGATGTTTTCTTCTTAAAATGGAACAAACAATTGCCTTCTTAAATAGTGAGATTACATTTTAATGTTTAATCATGATTATCTAGAAAGTATTTTTTTCAGGGTATTGGTCTACACATCCAGAGATAAAAATTGTGGAGTGGATTCAAGCTAGATCTTCTGAAGAATCTAGTCCACAGAATCTGGAACTCAGTGATCTATCTGACGAGTCTGATGAGGAAAGTGCGGTTTCAAAACAAGAACAAATGAAATATGCTAAATCTGAAGATGGTGAGACAGATGAAAATGATGAACAAGATGAAAATAGTGAAGATGATGAAGAAGAAGAAAATTCTGAAGAGGAATTACTATGCGCTACTAATAAATTTGCAGCTCTTCAAGGTGATGATTAAAATCATACTTTATTTTGAACCATGTTCATTTTAATGCTTTTCAATAAATGCTACAACACTGATTAATTGAAATTAATTACAGTTATCTTAGGCCCGTATCGACAGTCGTTCCTACAATTGTAGGGCGCCTTTATGGCCTCCTTGATTGTCATGTTTTCTACTTTTCCGTGTCAGCGCTCTATTTTGAGGTTATATCATAAATATATATTTGCATCAAATTGGGCATGCTTTTGAGTTATTACATGTTTTATCAGCCTGAAAATTCCTACAATTTAAAAAGAAAACATCTTCACAATAGGAGAGCACTGACACAGAACAGGTGTAATCTAGAAATTTTTGAAGCAGAGAAAGGAGTATGACAAGCAAGGAGGCCATAAAGGCGTCCTACAATAATTGAATCGGTGAGTCCAAGAACAGTACAAGTCCAAAAAGATAGTTCTGAGAAAACGCGAAAAAACTTCATAGCTCCCGAATGTGTAGAGTTACCGTTTTGGCTATCATACAAAAATGGTAGTGATTCTTTATATGAATACTAATTTTAAATAAAAAATAGACAAAAATCACACCCCTCGAAGTTGTAGAAGGGTGAAGTTCATGGACTTGTACTGTTCTTGAACTCAGTCTTTTTTTTGTACATTTTTGCAGATTTAGCGTATAATAGAGTTGGAAAGGAACTCTTATAGAGGCTGCTAGACATATGAAAAATGTTTTATTGGGCGAATCCATACAAAAATATTAGTCAGCGGGATCTCCGTTTGCGTAGCTTTGCTTCCAGGAAGTTACATGGTAGTAAAATTCTAATGTTTCACCGTTAATGTACTTCATGACTTTTTTGATATCGGTGATCTTCTTATGGTTGATGGGAACGGGCTCTTGATATGCGCGTATCTCTGGCAAAGGAGGACTTGGTTTGTTCTGTTTGAGGAGCTTAAAAGTATAAGAAATAAAACCATCTATATATTCATAGGTAGTAACATATCCTGGAGAAGAACTATCATAAACAAACTGCCTATACTTTGAAACAGTGAATGCCTGCGTGGTATCACCAGGTTTAGGGATCGAAGACGCAGTTTTTTTGTAGCTAGAAGGCCACCAATTTTTAAAGTCAATGATATCTTTGTAGGTAATCTCTTTAAAAGTAAACGGGTTGTTCTTCCTGCACGATACTATCATCTCTTGATATTCTTCTGGTAAATACACTCGGTCGCTTCTTCGTACAAGTTTTTTCAAAGGTCCAAAGTCTCTATCGCAGGGCAAGAACGAGTGCCCCCGTACAGGAATATAATGATAAATTTTTTTGAACCGTTTGGTTGCTTGTAGAGCTAGGAAAAATCTCACTATTGTGTTATTCCGATTTTGACCAGGACAGCCGTCAGAAAATATATGCAGCTCTGTCACGTTTCAAGGAATGTGAGTCTCTATGTAGTTTTTGAGGAATGTGCAGACCTCGTTTGGTCCTTTGCAGGCATGCCCTTCGTGGTATGTGTAAAAATGTCCAGAATTGTCTGATAAATTATGAATTTCTAAAGCATATACCCATAGTTGCCGAAAATAAAAGATTTCTTGAACTGGTATATTCGGGAGGGGTAGATTTTGAATGTAATCTAAAGTAATACCGGCAACTTCAGGTCGATTTTGACAGAGTTTTTGGATATCCTGCAGTTTGTTATAAAATTTTTTGGCACGTCGCTTATGGACTATCAGTTCTGCTGTGGCCACTCGCTTTGCATTATCATTCAAATCTTTACTTTTAATCTTGGCGCCTAATCGTTCGCATTCGGAACAGACGTCCACCTGTGGTCTTCCAAATTTGAGTGCATAATTTTCCTTGAAGTACTTTAAATAGAATTCATACTTAACATCATGCTGCAAATCAGGATTTTCTTTAATAAATAGAGAGTGCATTGTTTTAACATTTAGCCTAGCATCTAGGTATTGATGTACTCTAGAAGAATAATGAGTACTTTTACGTGGGAAACGTTCTATGTGCTCCCTAATTCTGATTAGTACTTCATCTGATTTGGAACGTGGCCTGTTATTGTGTAGGCCCCTTAAATCTCTTGGAGATGCGCCGGTCACAAGCAATGTAGTTAAGCGTTGAATTTGCATATGTGACACACCGTAAATACTCATGAAAGCTCGCTTGCATACTGCCACACGGTTTCCAGAGCTTTCCAATATAGAATACTTAAAACTTGCGGATTTGGGCTTAGCATTAGCTTGGACTCGTCCTCTACGTCTTGAAATGGTTGTCACCTCAATTAGGCCTTGAAGAAATGTGTCACGTTCATTTTTGGGCCTACCGTCATATAGTTTGGAAATTAAGATTGTTTTTTTTTTCATCGGGAACTTCTCTGTGCACTTCTCCTTGCACCTTTAAAATACGCAAGTTACTACTCTGTGCTTTTTAGTATCGATAATAACACTTACCCACATGGAGACCCAGATGATTTTGGTGCAACCCTTTTTCCGGATGTAGAAACATAGGCTTCACCTTTAAGAGCAGCAGTTTTCCTTTTATTGTCTTTCCAAACTTTCGGATTCCTTTTTCGCTTTCTACTCCCTTGCAAACCTTCGGCACTATCATCACTCTCGTTAGAACTAATCATTGTTGTTCTCAAAAATAACTGCTTCCAACTATTAAGTTTGTCTCGGCAGTGAGATAACCTAACTCTTATAATTTATTATCGCCACCTCGCGCGCGATGTGTGACACCCACATCAGTGAGGTCGAAAACAGTACATGTCCTGGACTTAATGTTTTCCATCTCAACGCCATAGAGAGGTGGCGCGTATAGCCGAATTATTCCTGAACATTGTAATGTTTTTAAGCACAACACACGAATCTTCGAATTTTAAACAATTTGGCTATCTTAACTCAATACGCCATTTTTTGGACTTGTACTGTTCTTGGACTCACCGATTCAATTGTAGGAACGACTGAGGATACGGCCCCACGATACACATACACTGAAGATAGGATATTGCGCTTATGGGCGGAAACGGCTCGTGGTTACTAGCGGCAGGATTGTCGTAACGTTACCGCAGTTCACGTGTATTCGTGGTTAATACTATACAGGGTGACTTTGAAGTTGAGTCATTAATTTTCAGATAATGATTGTAGAAGGAAGATAAACCAAAATATGTGTGTAAAAATAAAAAAAAATGTTACCTTGTTTTATAAAGTATCCCCCGACAAGTATTTCAGTGCGGACCTGTGCGCCCAAAAGCATGTCACAAAAACTGTTCGAAATGATTTCCGTTTTGCTCGACACACAGCTGGGCGCGTCTTAGCCATGTCTCTTTACAAGCACGCAATAAAATCACTGGTTGATTTCTGATCACTGTACTCATTTCCTCAATTCGAGCACGTAATTCTTCGCGTGTATTAACCGGTGTTTTATACACTAGAGTTTTTAGCCAACCCCACAAACAAAAGTCTAAAGGATTTAAGTCCGGAGACCTTGGCGGCCAAGGTACAAAACCGCCACGGCCGATCCAACGATTATTAAATTGTCTATTTAAAAATTCACGCACATTTCTTGCATAATGGGGTGGTGCCCCATCTTGTAAAAACCACATGTTTTGTCTAATATTTAAAGGCACATCTTCCAGTAAACCAGGCAAATTGTGTTGCAAGAAATCAAAATAATTTTCACCAGTTAAGCGATTTGGTAATTCAAAAGGCCCCACTAAAATTCCATTAACAATTCCCGCCCACAGGTTGATTGGTTCAAATCGCTGTTGAAAATTGGTTTCCCTTATTTCATGGGGATTTTCAATAGGCCAAACGTGAGAATTACGTGAATTAATAATTCCGTTTCTAGTAAAGAGGGCTTCATCACTCACTAAAATTTGATTTAAAAAATTGTCATCATTTTGATGTTTATTTAAAAGCCAATTGCAAAAGTCAACCCTTTGTTCATGATCTTCCGGTTGTAAGGCCTGCACTTTTTGTATGTGAAACGGATAGAACTGATTTTCACGTAGAGTTTTCCAAGTTTTATACTGACTAATCGCCAATTGAGTTGAAATTTGTCGGGTGCTTACTGTTGGATAATCACTTACTAATTCTAAAATTTGTTCTTCTAGTTCTATTTGATCGTGTGGTCTTGGAGCACCGGCATGATCTCCTCTGTGAGGTCTTAAGTCACCTGATTCACGAGCTCTTTGCACTACATTAACAAAGGCACGAGGGGTTGGTTGTACTCGATTGGGAAACCGATCCGCATAGATCCGTGATGCCGCGGCAGCATTTTGTAAAGACTCCCCCCCCCGTAAATAAGAACCATGTCCACAAGTTCAGCATTTTCGTAAACATGTGCCATTTTTGATTTGAGCCTCGCAACAGACACGATTATTCACTTACGCGTTACCGACTACCGACTGATACTGACTGTATACAACTGAAGAAAATAATTGTAAAAAGATCGTTCCAAATTCTTTCGCTTTTTTGTTTCCGATGCGATGAACGGATAAGGCGGATTATATCTGTTGTTGCCAAACACGAGAACATAATATCATTATTGAGACAGGGCGGTACTCAAACTTCCAAAGGGCTATAACTTTGTTACTTTAATTTTACCAGAAAAATGGTAAAGGAAAAAAACATTTCTTTTGATCAGATCTACTCACTGTTAAAATAAATGACTCAACTTCGAAGTCACCCTGTATAGTGCGATTTGTTGGTGTTTTTTGGTGGTTTTGTGACTTGTTGTATTAGTTATAAATACCTTATATACCCTGTGTGGTTGATAAATTGATAAAAATGCGGTGCGCTGTTGTGGGAGGTAATCTCGACAATCAATCTAAACGGAATCTTTGCAAAGACATGAAGTTCCACAGTTTTCCTCAATACAGAGACTTTAGCAAAAAAATGGCAACATCTCACAAAAAGATAAGACAAAGTCAATGTGAAAAGCGCTAGGGTTGGCTAGAAAATGCTCTAGAGGATCTGAAACGACGCTGCAGCGTCCAATACCTGTTAACAAGACGGCTTAATCAATATGTGATAGAAACCTTTTTCGGGGTAATTAGGACAAAAGGTGGTCTTCCTGACCATACAAGTCCTCTAGAGTTTAAGTATAGAATGAGGTCATATATGTTGGGGCGAAACGAAGGCTTATACTCAGGGTACCTATTGCAGCGTAGAGTCAGAGGATACTCCAGACATTGCACTAACCGCATCATTAACGAGAATAAACTGAATTCACCTGAAGTATCAGCTGACTATACCGAGCAAGTTTTAGTGGAAGAAATAGATGAGCTCGAGTATGACAGGCTGGAAAATTTGTCCAGCTTTGTTTGCAATAAATTGCAGGATGAGAGGTTGAAAAGTTCCTCAAATGAAACTTATTCATGGATAGACCATCTTAGTGAGGGTGGATTATCAAAACCTTCCGCAACTTTCATGAATCAAATTGAGAAGCTGAACAAAGTATTCACTACATTCAATGGGGACGGAATAGTGACAAAAAAGCAAAATTTTATAGGTGAACTTCTGTTGAAGAGCAGCAACATTGACTGCCCTGAAAAAGCTAAAAAACTGTTTTTCAGGTCAATGATGTTCTTCCGGATCAAAGAACTGAATGAAAGTTCGAAAGACCAGAAAAATCGTAAAAGGAAATGGATAAAAATTGTTGCTTAGCACTAAGTCATTTCCATTTATTGTTATACCGCCAGCTTACTGCAAAAAGAAGATAACTCCATTTTTCTACTTTTCGAGTTGCATGCATTTTCACACGTACATGTTTTTAGGATGTTCTGTGGAATAAGGATAAATGTAGTACAGTATTATGACATGAACATGTTAATCCTGCTCCACAGAACATACTAAAATATAGGTAATGTAGAAAAATGGAGTTATCTTGTTTTTACAGTGAAGAGACGATACGCTCTATTGTGGAGCTAGAAGCCGTTTAAGCTGTAGCCTGTGAAATAGGAATTACAGGGTTGAAATCTTTTATTAAAATCCACCATCTTGTTTTTTATAAAATCTCAATGTAGCTAGTGTCACTCGCACCGCTAAGACGAATCCAACGACACCTCATATGTGAAAATCTATCAAGCCATTTGATCTGTAGCCTATGAAGTAGGAATTACAAGGTTAAAATCTTTTATTAAAATACACCATTTAGTTTTTTATAAAATTTCAATGTAGCTAGCTTCCACAGAACATACTAAAACATAGGTAATGTAGAAAAATCTTGTTTTTACAGTAAAGTGACGATACACACCCTATTGTGGAGCTAGAAAGCCGTTTAAGCTATAGTCTGTGAGATAGGAATTACAAATTTGAAATCATTTATTTAAATTCGCCATTTTGTTTTGTATAAAATTTTAATGTAGATTGTGTCACTCGAGCTCAAGCCTGCCAATTTTTTTTTATAAGTGACGCACATCTGAACGTTAATGCTGCGACCACCACTGTCCCCTTCCCCAGACGGATTCCTAAACCTGTCCTTGTTTGAAAGTCGGTAAAATAAATAATACACATTTGATTTATTGGACAATGGGTGGTAATTAAATTATTATTGACTGTTTAACATTTGAAAAGTATCAGACATTACCCCGGTTGGCGACGCTGGAACGCGCTAGTGAAGTTAGAAGTTAGCTGTTTGAATGGGAACACGGAACAGCATTTGTGGGAAAAGTATTGAACTACGCCATTTTTCTTCTACTGTATATAAACGACTCGTTTGTATTAGTCAAAAATAAACTTTCAACCGCCTTTGTTTTTATTGTTCACCCTTTTATTATGAGACATTTTTGTGTGCATGTGAAATATACCAATTTGCTGGATAGAAAATATCAATTTTTAGTCTTTAAGGTATATTCTGACTCCATGAATCATGAATATTTTTTGTTCCATGGGTGCGTCTTTTATGTCAAAGTCTTGCCGCTAACTTTTAATGTTTTACATGTTTCCGTTAAGGTTAGGTTTCTAAATAAAATCGCAAAAATAATTTATATATGACGGAGGAGGATATGAGAATTCGTTTAATTTAAGTAAGTGAACTAAAGATACTAGTTTTGTGGTAGGTAACATGAAAATTAGAAAGATGCCTTATATATCTGACCCAACGATTGTACCCCGCATAAAGAAGGTAAACTGTTGGAAATTGTGAGGAACAACACATTGCTATAGTAATCTCATCATTTTAGTACCTTGAAAACAATAAAAGTAAAGGCTTTATCAATGTAAATGATATGGCAGATGAATTGCAAAGAACATATAGGGACTATGCTAACCGTAAACGTAGTGCTTTTCGAGCTTCAGTCAACAAAGCTTATTCTGTGGTTTTAGAGCAATATGGTTTAAGTTCAGACAATTCAGAAGAGGAATCTGTTATTAGTGCTGATAGTGGTGAAGAGGAACCGACTACAAGTGAACAGGTAACATTGAGATGCCTTGATGATGAGGCTCATGTTTTAGCTATAATCGCAGATGATCAGTACACTACATATTAGTGTGTCGTTCGCGAACAGCCACTTGAAATCGAATGTCTCTTCTAAGTGAGGGACGATTGAATAACTTGTTACCGCCAACTTCAAATAGATTAGAAACCAAGCCTATATGTTTACATTCCATTTGTTGCCAAATCTGGGTAGATTTATTTATTTATCTGTGCCTTAGAGGTAAACGATCGTAACTCCATTTTTACAGTTTTTGTGATTATCTGCGTATAATTAGTATCCCCAGTTAATCTTAATGTGGAGTAAATGATCGTAGTGCCTAACCATGTTAATCATGAAACATATAAATAGAACAAGCAGCTAGTGATTTTTTGTTAGAGGTAAACAGTTGCTTCTCCATACATACACACAATACTATCATATGAATCATCGCTACGCAGCGGTAAACAGTCGTGTCTCCGTCGCACACCGCTTGCTTTACAAACTGTGTTGTTCGATCATTCTTCAAAGTTGATCAAGCTGCTTAAGTAACCAAAAAACGGTAATAATGTCCTCAATGGCTCAACAATTAGTGCAGCTTGCACTGGAGGAGGAAATCGTTTCTCGAGAATCTAGTAAGTACAACATAATTGATATTATAGGTGTCCGAGCCAAAGCAGGAACATTATGATGATCGTAAACTACTTTTACATATTACAAATAATAGGTCCTTCATTAAATTGTATCATTCACAAGTTTCTTGTACATAGACACACACACATGGAAGCTGATCATATCCATGCACTTATCGAACGAGTTATAAAAAAACAACCTATTATGAAAATATGTACGCCATGGGACTGGCAGCAACTTATAAAATCAACCAGACCCACAGTTTTCGAAATGCAATTAGATGGCTTCAAGAACTTTGAGGCCTTATATTCCAGCACAGGATCATCTCTCATTCAAAAGAAACAGATAGTAGACAAAGATCCTTTTTAGTGTCATCAACGGTGTGGCTTGAGGTTCGAAAACAGGATCCAGGGATACTCTACTATAAAACAGATATATTCCAAGAGGACTACAAAATGGTAAACATGAATAGATCCTCTAGGAAACCGATAGGGTTACCACTAGAACTATGTTCACCGCGTCAAACCCCAAAAGGACTTAGCAAGAAAAACCACGATCATCTTCTCATGCTTCTGCAATGGATACTAGAAGCATTTCATGATTTTTAAAAAAATATTCCTGTGCTGGGTCAACAAGGAGATGATGACGACGACGACGATTGAATATATATTCTCCAGATGTCATTTTTTGTAATAATAAAATGTAGCCTATTTCCACCAATTGTACTTACTGTGTTTCATCCTATGCTGCACCTGGATTTTATTATCATAGTAAATAGTCGTAACTCACAAAATAATCTGAATATCAAATTCTAAGATCATTAACATCAAGCATTACTGTTCTGTGTACCATATAATATATATTCGCATATTAACAGTAACATGAACAAAAATCCATTCTGCTACTGACTCAATTTTTAATTTGCTTGTTCTCTGAATTGCATTATATGGAGTTACAACTATATACCTCTAAGGCACAGTTATATATTCATACATTCTCAGGACAAGCCCACTTTTATAATTTTATTCAATTTAATTTAATAAGGTAACTAAACTTACTAAACATTAATATGTTTAAAATTAATGTCTACATAAATAAAATTTAACTGAGCCAAAGTATTAAGAACAAAGTACAACGCAAACAGAAATAACAAATATAACAGGTTAGGTAACATGTTTTAAGGTTCATTTCAGGGAATCATGGGATACATAAAAAATATCACAACACTAATTTCACAAAATACTTTTAAATCATCAGCATATAAAATAAAATTAGAGTATAAATAACAGTCACTTATATCATTGATATATAAATTAAAAAGCAGGGGTGCAAGATGTGCTCCCTGTGGAACTCCAGAGGACACAAAGATATTTTCTGACAAATAATCATTCACCCTGAGATCTTGCCTTCTATCACTTAGGAATGACTTTAACCAATCAAGTATGGACCCCTGCATTCCAAGTTTTGAGGGTTTACTAAAAAGAATGTGGTTATTGAGCTTATCAAAAGCTTTTGAAAAATCTGTATAAGTTGAGTCTACTCGCTTTTAATGCATAGTTTTGATTCATTTGTCTACCAATGCCTACCAAAGTAACAGCATAGTATCAACATGATAATAATACTTACTGGTGGAAATTATGTATACCTTATTTCACGAGTATCATCACGCTTGGGCATCTACTGAAGTGAACAGCTGACCAGCAAGTGACATTTTTGTGTTAGTCTACTACATTGGCAATAATGAATCGGGTATAAATCTAGTAAAACTTGTTTGTGGCGTTTTGTTTTTTGTATACAAAAGAAAAGCTGTTAGCAAGTACAAAATGAGTCTGTAGAATACAAAAAACCAAAACAAAATACAGCTCTGTCTACCTACCGTCAGAATGTTGTGTCCTGTGCTGATATGGGGAATTTTGAGATATTACAAGATAACCCGCTGTCATTCTACCGTGATGGATACTTGTGAAATAGGGTATAAGAAGTATCATACCTTGGAATCATCTAACAACACAATTATGTGCAAACTCTCACTGTTTTAAAAAATAACACTAAATATACAAATTCAATGACAACTGTCAAACATTGACTTACCTGTAATTTGTTCATATCCATCTCTTCCTGATTTTCAACTACTATTTGGATGACTGTCCTTTGTACATGATAAAACACTATCTGTAGAACCAAGAGTTTAGTTTTCACTAAATTACAAGTTAATCCCTACTTTTTGCAAAAATATGATAGTACTTTAAATTAGTCAACTAACCTTCTTCATTTCAACCCATTGTACTCTAGTTTTGAGGCTGCTTGGAAATCGTGTTGTTCAAATAAATAATTCCAAATGAACAAATAAAATGAGCAAGTTTAGTAAAAAATATATGCTATGCTTACTACTTATAATGTTTTATTGAAATACTCTTTCCATTGGATTCTAAGCCACCATAAGCTATAATTTATAGGAGAAAACAATTCAACCACACTAACATTCTCTATTATCAGAATCACCACCGTTTCAGTCTTATTACTTCCAATTTACTTCTGAATTGTGAACACTTTTGTGTCATTAGGTATATACCTGTATTTTGGGCACTTCCTACAGCTATTATCTATAACTACTTTAGGTAGGGCGCTAGGCATGGGTACAAAGTTGAGTATAAAAGTTGCATTCCTTGGCTTTAAGCTTGGTCATATGACAAGCCAAACTTGTGGATAAAGATGTTATTTTATAGTGGAGAAATATAGTTATGCTACTATATAAATTGAACTTGAATCTGAGTTTCAAGTAGATTTTATAGTAGTTCTAACATATAACTAGATTAAATTGATTTTTTTATTAGAGAAACTAACTGGTCAAAAGCCTTATTTGAGTTGTAAATGAACTGTCTTTTGACATTCTGGTTGTGCCACATGTTCTCAAGATTCCAAAGTTACATGTGATTGGCTATTGGCAGAATCCAAATGGTTCTAGGACACTTCCCTACAAACGCCAAATAAATCTTATCTTAGTTATCATAACAAAGTACCTGTTACATAAAATATCATGTACTACTTGTTAAGTGAATCTTTTTTTTTTTAGATCAACGATTCTATGAACAATCAGATGGTGGATCTCTACAAGATGAATGCTGCAAAGGATATTGATGAGAATGAACTGATTGACATCAGCAGTGAGGACTCTGATGATGAGGAAGCAATGAGAGCGGCCATAAATGCTCATGCTGCAAGTGTCTTAAGAGAAGAGGTAAAAATATATGTTTTTGTGTTATGAGTTGATCCGTTATTTCAATATAAAAGTAGCCTTGTTATGATATTCTTTTTTGTATTCATCAGTAAAGTGTAAAAATTCATGTCTGAAAAAATTTGGTTTGGAAACCAGTGCATTTTTACTTTGATAAATTGATTTACTGCTTAAATGCTTTCCAAAGTGGATAAATAGCTATTATTGTTGCATAATGCGAACAATATATTTTGTAATTGTAATCATAAAATGCATCCACTACATAGAAATTGCTATCAACTATCTTTAGATGATCAGATCAGCTGCAGCTCAAGCAGCACCGCCAGAAAATAACAAGGCGCAGGCGGCAGCCAACGAAAGGTACCTCGCCGAACTTAAAAAAGATCAAAATCCATCCGACAAAGGTAAAAAGCGTAAATTGAATGAATACGTCTCGGTTACGTCGTCGTCGATGAAAAGCAACACGTCCAAGAAGAAAAAACAAAATGCCGCTTTCGAAGAGATAAAGTACAGCTTCAAAGACGTCGGAGGGATGAACAAGACTCTGGAGGAGGTGTGCAAGCTGCTGCTGCACATAACCCATCCGGAGATATACAAGTCGATCGGTATCACACCACCTAGGGGGTTCTTGTTGCATGGACCGCCCGGATCGGGCAAGACCTTGTTGGCCAATGCGATTGCTGGGGTAAGTTGTATATATAACGATAACAAACTTTATTTCCTTGTTGAACAAATTGCTGGTAAATGGGGAGGTTGGATTAGTGTGACTAAAAAACTGAAGGGGTGCCAAGGTTAGGAAGGACAAGAAAAACTGGACCTAAAAAGTTATACCTTCATTTGGGTTTCTACATGGAACTATCCCAGAAACGATTTGAACTCCCTCTAGCTAATCGCAATATGTCACTGAAGTCATGAAAACCTATTACAAATAATCGGAATGGCTTGCTGGAGAAGCTGAATAAGGCTTATCTCTCCACTAACTTCCCATACCAATAAATGAGAAATCATTGAACTCACGGAACATTTATAAATCAAGATAGGTTTTCACATCACATTTCCTTCAGTCCGTCTATAGTTTATTCAGTTATTCTGGATGAAGTTTTGACAACAATATTGACTTCTATAAACTAAACGTGATACTTTCGTCCGTTCGACCAAAAGACAGCCAACCATGGACAGCTGTTTCATGCTTTTTGACTACTCATCAGCATGGTCTAGGCATCGTCTCTCGTCCATGGGACGATACGATGAAAACATTGCAACTATCCTTTATCCAGGAGGAACAGTATATCAAAATAAGTCATCGCAAAGCACTATCTATCCCCAGAATTGAGCAGGACCTGCCATTAGTTGGAACTGTTAAAGATCTCAGTTTACATTTCATAGCCCAGTCACCACGTGACCGCTAGATGGATTTTTGCTGTAACTTGTAGCAGAGTTTTTTTGGTGTAATAACAAGAATGATCCTTTTGTATGTACATGACTTTATTGTTTTTCGAAGTATTCTCCACGAAGATTAATACACATTTGCATGCGCTCGAACCAATTTTCGAAGCACTCATTCCACTCGTTTGCTGGCAGATCCAAAACGGCATTTTCGAATGCGTCAACTGCTTCTTCTGGTGACTGGAACCTTTGACCACGCAGTCTATTTTTAATTTTCGGGAAAGTAAAGAAATCGTTAGGACTTAGATCGGGACTATATGGAGGATGGTCCAATAATTCCACTTTTCTTCTGTTAAGTACTGCCTTGTTTTTTGGGCTGTGTGCGAGCTTGCATTGTCTTGGTGGAGGATGATTCTTCTTTCGGGGTTGATTTTTCGAAGCTCGGTGATGACTTTTGGCAAACAAATGGTGTTATACCAATCCTCAGTAACAGTTCTTTGCTCATTGAGAGGAATTGTTGCAATATGACCGGCTTTTGACACAAATGTCGCGACCATCTCTTTTGAAACACTTCGAGAACCGATGACTTTTGTTGGCTTTTCTTCACCTTGGAACACCCTAACAGCCGACTGTCGTTTATTTTCTAGTTCATAACAGTAAATCCACAATTCATCACCACTAACAATGCTGTACACATTTTTTGACTTTCCGGAATTGAAACGGTCAAGCGTTTTTTGACACCAATTAGCCCTGGCTGCTTTCTGCTCTTCAGTCAACAGGTGGGGTATCCAACGAGAAACTAATTTTCTTACTCCTAATTCTTCATGTAAATTTTTTTTAATTGAGATCTTTGAGACCTTCAAGGATGCCTCAATCTCGCAAAGACGTCCACGTTTGAATTCTCCATACCAACAAGAAATTGTCGAGTGATGTGGAGCTTCGTTGGCGAAAACAGACAGTAACTCAGCAAGGCATTCTTGTTGCGATAATTTTCTCTGAAAGTTGTAATAAATTATGGCGCGAAAATGTTCTCGGTTGAGTTCCATTTTTCTAATGACTTGGTGACACTTCACTGTAGTGAGAACACTGCACGTATTGTTGTGAAACTTTGAATTTAAGTTTACCAAAGAGTGAGGTTAAGATTCAGTACTGACGTTCGATCCTCGCGGCCTACTATGTTTCTATATGCAAAACTTAAAAGACATCCCTCGTACAAATACAAAGACTGCTTTAGTCACAATTTCATTTTCACGATTAATATGCTAATTTTTTTGTTCTAGGAACTAAACGTTCCTTTATTGAAAGTTGCTGCTCCCGAACTTGTAGCAGGAATTTCTGGAGAAAGCGAGGAAAGGATAAGAGAGTTGTTTGACCAATCTGTAAAATTATCACCGTGCATCCTTTTCATTGACGAAATCGATGCTATTACTCCGAATAGGCAGAACGCACAGAAAGACATGGAAAAAAGGATTGTCGCCCAGCTACTCAGTTGTCTTGATGGTATGGTTAAAAATTGTTTAGTCTTATAGGACTTTTTACGGTTTTTGGCGGTTATTTCACAGTTTCATACGAAATAAGTTATCAGATGAGCTAACTGTACTTTGTAAGGAATTTAACTTCCCTAATAGTCTAATCATGTTTGACGAAAATACCCATGGTTTGCGAAATAATTGTAAAGTCTGGTTTTATTGATGCAAGTTGTTCAAGTTGGTATTCAAAACATGGACGCATAAAGTGGGTACACCAATTTTTGTGGGAAAATTTTTGGGGATTCAATCGAAAGTGTTGGCAGAGATGGAAACATTTTTAGGTTATTGTGAGACCTACAAAATGAGACCACACGTAAAAAGATCCGACGAATAGAAAAAATGTTATGGCCGAAAAACGAGGCAAAATGCAGGTTTTGGCTCTCGTTGCTAATGCGACGATAACTTCACGCAACTACTTGAATCATTGTTTCTCAAAGTGCAATTTCAAACTGAAATTGAAAATGATTATGAATGAAACCGAAATGAAAGAGAATTCAAAAATACTAATTTGTCATTTTGTATACATCTAGAACTGAGCAGCAGTGAGCCAGGCAATCGAGTACTTGTAATCGGAGCCACAAATCGCCCAGATTCAATCGACCCTGCACTAAGAAGGGCTGGTCGCTTCGACAGAGAAATTCCGCTAGGCATTCCGAATAAAGACAGCCGAATTCAGATTCTCAAAGTCCTCACCAACAAACTGAAGTTAATGGATGGTTTCGATTTTGAAAAAGTCGCTGCTTACACGCCTGGATTTGTTGGCGCCGACTTGCTGTCTCTAGTTAGAGAAGCTGCCATGGCAGCCGTCAACAGGTATTTACTTTTCTAATAAATGTCATGATTAAAAAATATACGAGGTAAAAGATCTAATATATCAGATAAAAGGAGTAGTATTCTCCATGAAAAAACTATGAATCAAATATTACTTGTTAACATATCCCACTGGAAGCAATAAGCATATGTACTGTAGCACCAACAAGTGCTTACCACAGGGTTGTTATGTTTTAATCAATACAATGAAGATTTTTTAAACCAATTTGTTTTAAACTGTTTAAAACATGTTTCAAATACTGTTTTTTTGTCGTTTGTGAATTATTCAAGTTTTTTTTATATCTGTTTAAGGATGATTAAAATTGATCTTATTTTGCAAAACGAAACTAAAAGAGCCATACGTTAAAACACATAGGTACTAAAAAATTTACTTTATTTTTTTATTTATTATCCAGACATGAAACTAAGGAACTAATACTACTGGAACAAAAATCTGTTTATTAACAAACGAGTGAACTTAAACTGCATTGAACTCTAATACTAGTACACTACAAGCAGCAGAATAATCATATATTATGACTATGTATTTACTTGTATAATAACATTAAATAAGTTACTTAACAAATTTCTATAAAAGTATACAACCCATGTTATTTAACAAAAAATCCTTAAATCCATATTTTTTAAATATAAAATCATGGAAAATGTATATAGAATAAATTTTTAGGTTTCACTACTTTTTACGAAACTCCAAGTAAAAAAATTTAGCTTTTTCACAATTCTCCAAGCTAGTTAACTTTTAAATATTTTGTTTTTCTAACAAACTTCCTTGTTTAAGTTATTTAAAATTTTTAATATGCTTGCGAATTCTAGCCACCAGTGGCACTATATCCACATTGCAGGTTAAACGTTTTGCTCTTTTATTTATTTTCGAGCTAGCTTTGGCATCAGTCTCCTCAAAATATTTCCTCACAGGATCCTTTCTCCTCCCTGTCATTGCCTTTCTTTTTTTGCCGATCTTTAATGCACAAAAAACAAAGCACACCACCACGCTACGACATCGCACATTTGATTGCAACGCGAAAAATTACCCGAAGGCAAACGGTACTTCCCCGACGTCCGCAGGGTAGTTTCCCGATGTCCGCTTTTAAATTAGAGATGTGCTCTGATAGAGCTGGATCAAAAATAGTAATAACACTTTCAAGGAACTTCATTAACGTTGCCAGATTATATGGGCAACAGTATTTTTTATTATTTTTTTTTTTACCGTTTTAAAAATGTATTAACAGTGTTTTAAACATGATTTTTTTCCGCTAAATTTGAATGTTTTAAACAAAAAAGACATGATTTTTTGTTTTTTTTTAAACATGTTTTTTTCAACCTTGGCTTTCAACTAAGCACCTGACAACCAATAACTTAGTGCCACCTCTCGGGTTATCGGAGTTGCTTTTCTGTGTTTTCTGTGGTTGAAGAATTCTGAGTATACGAAATCATAGCAATAATTATTAGAGGGGCTGAAGGGTTATTTTTTCCTAACTGGTGTCATGTTTAAAAATAAACAATGTTCTTTAAGAAGTAAATTGAGTTTGTTTTTATTACTCCAAGGGAATTATTGGGTTCCTACTTGATGACATGGCTGTGACAATGGTTATCGTTGGCCATTTTGGAGAATACTTCAATCAATGGTTTTAGTGAACTTTTTTTTTAAATTTGAACATTGATTAACATATTCTACCTGAAGATAGTCAACCATGTACTGTATTTTGGCGCCTAAAAAGAAATCTAAAAGATGTTGACGTCATCTATAAAACAGTAGCAGAATTTACAGATCCAGTTTGAAAAGAGTGTTTGGTTTTACTACTATATCATAGATGTCACCAGAATCTCCAATCCCGTTACTCCTCTCCAAAGCCTATTTTAACTCTTTCCAAAGCAGATTTTTGAATTCATTTTTGTGTTTTGTTACTGACTCGTAGATAACGGTAGTATCTTTCAGATCCTCTTTGGGCGCTGAAGAAACAGTATATTGTTGACTGTCTTTAAGTGGAATATGTTAATCAGTGATTTCATTAAAAAAATATTATCTCATCTCGTCAAATGCTGCAATTATATTTTCAGGCTGATAAAGGAAGTGAGAGAAAAATACGTCCAGTCGGCGCAAGTACAGCAGCAGCAAACCAAACAAGATGAAAAGCCACAAGAAGAAATATCAGCGCAAATAGTCGTGGATGAGGTGTGTTTTACGGCTACAAGAGTAAGTGACGGATTGAATCGCTAACAAACTTTTTCTCGATTTGCGCAGGTTCCCAAGGAGGCAGAGGCAGTGAACGGCGAAAAGCCGACAGAACCAACCCTTGCTGCAGACGGTGGGGGCAGTGAGAGTGCCGCCGTAGTAGTGATCGACGACGACAACAGCAGTCAGCAGAAGATCAATGACGTCACCGTGACGCCGGTGGTGAGCAGTGTAGCGAATAACGCGCTGGCGAAGCTCAGCGAGGTCAGGACAGCATTGGAGGAAATTCTGCTGTGGCTGCACGAGAGTCTGCCCATCAGCGAACGGGAACTACAGGGGTTGAGTATCTCTCTCGCTGATTTTGAGGTTAGCTTGTGCTCATGGTTACTAAACCCTATTTCACGAGTATCTATCACGTTTTGACGTCTACTGAGGTAAACATCTGATCAGGAAAAGACATCTTTATATTAATCTGTCACATTTGCAATAATAAATCGGGTATAAATCTGGTAAAGTATTCAGCGCTGTTGTTCACATATCTAGATACTTTCAGTGACTGAGAATTTTGACAATAGAATATACGAAGTACACAGAAAAATCACATCTGGGATTTATTGATTATGATTACTGGGTTGTCTTTTCCAGTAGTTGTAATTTTCCATGTAAAAATGATATAGAAAAGTGTTTCTGCTTATTGTCCGTCATCAGTGTAACATAATTCAGATATAGCTGTTTCATTGTCCTTTAAAATAATATGGTGTTTCAAGTTCTAAAAAGTAGAGATGATTAACAAAGTCAAAAAATATCTCCTTTTACTCCTACCTGACTCATGATACGGCTCTGTTGTTTATCTGGTGATGACGGTTCTCTCAGAATTATCTGTCATTTGTAGATTTGGGCATATTTGAAATATTACTAGATAATCAGCTCTTTTTTTATCGTAATGGATACTCAAAGATAGCTCTTGCTTACACGGTTGATTGACATATTTCACCAGAAGATACTTCATTTGAAAGTCTATATGTCACATAATGCCCTATGCTTGTCTAGCTAAATCAAACCACGTTTATGTTTAAAATTCCTCTTTATTGTTAATCGTTTCGTTCCCAACGATGACCTTTTTCCAGCACAATAGGCTACTTAATACTTTTTTAAGTACGTCTTAAATAGTTAATATTTGTTTTATTATAGGAAAAACATAATACTTTATTCTTGAGACCTAAAAAACCATAAATCATTAATTTAAATATCTACTATATTACGAGCCCCTTCCCACTTCAGTTAGCCCACTTCAAGATTTGTACCAAAATATGCCTTTTAAAAACTAAACATGACGAAGCTATTTACTTCTAAAACAATTTATTTTCTCAAAAACATTTTAGATGGCAAAAATTTGGTGCAAAAGAATCCCATATTTCTTGAAGTTTTTGTCTCAATTCGGTGATTGTACGGCCATGTTGTCGTAGAACCTTTTTCATCTCGTGCCACAGAGTTTCAATAGGTGACATATCTGGACTGAAACCCATTTCAAAAGTGGTACATTATTTTATTCCATCCATTTTCTAGCCTTTTTGTTTGTTTCTTTCTTTTTTATATACAAAATACGTTGCTATCGTCCCTAAACAAGGGTATATCCGTAAAAATGAATGTATTTTATTTTCACATATGAAAAGACCTTTCTATCATTTCACTATGTACAATTTAAATCAGGAACACCCTGTATAGGTAAATCTTTGGATGATTCGAGACCGACACTGTTCTAGAGGTGCAATTTTCCAATGCAGAAATGTGATGGCAAAGTAAGAATTTGGAAATAGCATTTAAAATTCTATAGGAGTGGCACTTTTCAAATTTTCAGGAAGCTCTTGGGGTAGCTTCCGTCTTCAGCAACAAATGAGTGGAGTGTTTAGCTTTACACACTGAAATCGGTTTTTGTTACTAGGTGGCGCTAAAAAGTGTACAACCTTCCGCAAAAAGGGAAGGCTTCGCAACGGTGCCAGACATTACTTGGGACGATGTCGGAGCATTGAGAGAGATTAGAGAAGAGCTGCAGATGACCATAGTAGTAAGTAGTCGAGTTCAAAGATAACAAGTATATATATTATATGAAAAATGCAGCTTTGATGTTCACCAGCACAGCAGCATTACTGGAGTGATCAGTCTCATTAAGATTACGTTCCGTTTATTGGAACACTTCAAAAATATTTGTGCATGTATTTTGAGGTGTATTTTTTTAAACTGAAGCAGCAATGACGGGAATCAAGTCAGAACCAGAGACTTTGTTAATGTCGAGCGACATGCTACAGATAAAGCGATATTAGTGATTGCTCGAGTAGTGGTACACTCTGGTAACACAACTATCTATGTAAATAATATGAAGATTTAACTGTCTTTTTCACTTTTATCATTTTCAAGGCACCGGTCAGGCATGCAAAACAATTCGAAGCTCTAGGATTGAATGTTCCTACAGGAGTTTTACTGTGTGGACCCCCTGGTTGTGGTAAAACACTGCTTGCCAAAGCCATCGCCAATGAAGCTCGTATCAACTTTATATCAGTTAAAGGACCCGAGTTGTTGAACATGGTAAGTTAAACTCAAATCATAAGTCATACAATTGACATGATTGAGATTTCCATCAAATCTTTTTAAAGCATGAAAATGAGTTTAAAAAGTCAAAAGTGAGCACTATGCTTTACCAGGTGTAGTCAAGTCAGTATATGTATTATATTTTTTATTTTTAGTATGTTGGGGAAAGTGAACGAGCAGTAAGAGTATGTTTTGAAAGAGCACGAAACTCTGCACCTTGCGTGATATTCTTTGATGAGCTAGATGCTCTATGTCCAAAGAGGTCACTTGCATCAGAGGTATGTACATTAAAGTTTTTACAAATATGTATCAGGTATTTTTCTAATGAACACGTGTGATATACATTCTCAGTGGGGATTGATTTAGAATGAGACGAAAAATGTCGTTCTTAATAAGCTTTTGTAAATACATACAGGGTAACGCAACTGTTCGTGTTGTCAATCAACTCCTGACGGAAATGGACGGAATAGGAAGCAGAAATGGAGTATTTCTTCTGGCAGCCAGCAATCGGCCAGACATTGTGGACCCAGCTGTGTTGAGGCCTGGACGTCTGGATAAAATTTTGTACGTTGGTCTACCTGCTGGTAACGAACGAGTTGACATTTTGAGGACCATCACAAAGGTTTGTTGACATTCATTGTATACAGACACAGACATGGTGCCTGTTACTGCACAACCCAGCCAATGTTGCACTCGCACTGATTTACACTTTGTACTCCTAACTGTGCCATGCTGTATGTGTATTATACTAAGAGACACAAAATGCAACACCCAGTTTTATTTATTGAATTTGGATAAAAACTTTTAAACATATTTGCTATCATGGAAGTATATGCTGATAAAATTTTGAAGGCCGTACTTTTTTGTAAAGTCTTTTTTTGTCCTATCAGGATCTAAACAATATGAACATGTTTACTTAATATTCAGTGATTTTTCTGTGTTGGTTTCACTGTTGTTTCATTGCATTATCATGCCTAGAGTTCGCAGACGCGCTAATTTCACTCAACTTTCCGAGTTTGGCTGGTCGGATAATCGGTTACATGAAGCCGGACAGTTTTTGCCGAATAAGGCCTTATGGACTGTTTTCATACCGTCCTCATCTTGTACTACCTCTGACCCCACAGAATCGTCGGCAACGATTGGTATGGAGTAGGGAGAGACTTGAATGGAATATGGAATGGAACTCAGTCTTGTTCAGCGTTGAGTCCAGATTCTGTTTGGGCACACATGATGGCCGTGCAAGAGTAAGGAGACGTGGTGAAAGACCAATTTTCCATCGAACGGCAATTCATCGCTTTGTGGGTGTTATGGTTATATGGCGCGCCATTGCTTAAGGCAGCAGGTCACAATTAGTGTTCTTTCGTGCTAGCATGACTGCCCAGCACTATATCCACAAAGTTTCATAGCCACATCTGCTTTCCTTTTTGAAAACACTGCAAGATCCACTTTTTCAGCAGGACGAGTACACGACCTTATGTCGCACGTGTTAGTTTAGACTTTTTAGAAGCGTCCGGAGTAAATCTGCTTTAGTGGCCTCCTCGATCTGCAGTCCTTTCCCCCATCGAACACGTATGGGATATGATGCGAAGAAGGTTGCAAAATTCACTGCACCCTCCACAAACATAAAACAGTGGAGGCTCTACGAAACCAAATTCAGATGGCCTGGGATACAATACACCTAATCCAATCAACGCCGCGATGACTATTTTGCGATATTTAAGAGTTAAAATTTTAATCACTTTCTATTTATCAGTAGATCTAAAAATATACTAAAAGTGTGCTCATAATTACAGCACTCCTGGTCGGTGTTGCATTTTCTGCCATTTAGTATAAATGGTTTATTCACTGAAACAAAGCAGTTACGTCATATTTAGTAAATTTGAATGCCAACTTGAATGCAAAATAGATCCTAAATGGTACTTATAGTTTGAATTTCCCGGGTACATTTATATTTGCATTGTTTTATGAAAACAATTTTTTTTAAACTTTGAGGTGTCCTTCTTAACATTTTGCTAAAATGCCGAAACCTCTGGGGCGACAAGCAAAAGAATTCGTCAGTTCTTTGACGAAATATTTTGAGACCGAACGAAATCATGGACTCCATTATTGCCTTTACAGTCCGTAGGAGAGGTATTAGGTAGTAAATAGAATGTATACTAGCTCTAGCGTTTATAAAACATACGCTCCTTCATGTTGGTATTTTGGTTGCGGTAAGGCATCGAAGACATAAAGTAGATTTTGTAAAACGTCCTAGGATTTAGTAGTTTTGATTAATGTGGAAACCATGTGCGTCACTGTCATTATTTGACGTTGTGTCGTAACTGCTTTGATTCCATGAATAAACTATACAGGGTGTTTCAGAACGATGGGATCAAACTTGTAGGGGTTATTCAATGTAACAGTAGATAACATTTGAGTATAGGGACCCATATCCGGAAAAGTGTCACTACGGCCCTAAGACGCGTTAAAATTTAGAAAGACGATGAATTTCCTAAATAGGATTTAATGCATTTAATTTTTGCCTTTTGTACATGATATCACAATTGTTCAAAATGTCTTCCTCCAACCTGTGGGGACATGTAAAGTCTTTGGTTTACGAAACTCCAGTAGAAACAGAGCAAGACTGAATTGGACGAATTACAGCAGCATTTGAAATCATTCAAAACGAGTATCAAATTTTTAGTCGAGTCCACCAAAATCGTGTGCGACGTCTAAATCGGTGTATTCAGGTTGGAGGAAGACTTTTTGAACAATTGTTGTGATGATATCATGTACAAAAGGCAAAAATTAAATGCATTAAATCCTATTAAGGCAATTCGCCCTCCTTGTAAATTTTAACGCGTCTTAGGGCCGTAGTGACACTTTTCCGGATATGGGTCCATATACTCAAATGTTTTCTACTGTTACACTGAATAACCACAAGTTTGATCCCATAGTTCTGAAACACCCTGTATACGACCGTTATGGTTGGAGTGTAATTTAATGTTACTTGATTTCGTGGGGTAATATTACATAGCATGGTATATAATAGTATACATATGTAAGAGCTAGTATAGAGCTATTATAATCAGTTATTAAACATTGTTGACAAATATTTACACCAGAGCTCCAATTAAATGAGCCACTGCCTTTTTCACATTTTTTTTTTTCATGAAAAACCCAAATAGTTCTGACAAAACCTGTCTTTTTGATGACTTTGCATTCCATCGAAAATTGTACTAGAAATTGTGGGAACGAGTGGGAAGTATAGAGTCAATCTACTTGACGCCATTTGTTATTTAAGATGTAACTCGAACGAGAGTTATTCTTAACCTACGATACACAAAAAATCGTTTCCAATTTATTACCGTTTCAGAATGGTACTCGTCCAAAACTTGCACCGGACGTAGATTTGGAAGAAATCGGCACGTCAGAAGAATGCAGAGGCTTCACGGGAGCTGACTTGGCAGCACTGGTGCGAGAAGCTGGTGTACTTGCCTTAAAGGATGTTTTGTGTGGGGAAACGATGAGCGGTAGCGAGATCATGGTCACTGGGGAACATTTTAAGAACGCATTCAAAAAGATCAGGCCTTCTGTACCGGAAAAGGTAATTTTATTTTATTACAGAGCTGGAAAGGGGGACTGATTCAGCAACAATAGTTATTTATTATACAAGGGAAAAAAGTACTAGATTTTTCCACTGTATATTACACAATTTTTTTCTGTGACGGGAAACACGACGATTTAATATTGAAAAATTATATTATTACAATATTTAAGTCAGAAAATAAACGATGTGAAATTGGAATTTTGAAATTAGCAGGCTATGTTGTACTCATAGCAACAATTAGACCTGCGTTGCTAAGGAAAGAATTGTAATTTTTTAAAACGAATCAAGTGGCTGCGGAGATACAGACAAAAACCGAAAAAATTAAAATCGCTCATAGTTCAGAAAAATTTTCATATAGGTCAAAAATTGGGAGTTGGGATTGTTGCAAGTGGAGGGGGGGATGATATCTCATTTTTTTTTCTTTAGTATACTTATACGCTTCCAACCCATGCTACGTTTTAGACAATTTCAAATACCCTAGACGTCCCTGCACTTTTGCTCTTACTCTTAGACTGATAGAGACATATTTTCAAGCCACGCGTCGCGTATCGGTCGCCCGCAACGATCGTGTCTAAAATCGAAATTTCTAAATCGCAACGTTGTCAAATAGGTGGATACTGTGGACAAGTTTTGTATACCTGTTTGACTAACGATCCATTTCATTTTATTCATATATGTTCGTAGTTAACTTTTTTCCCAGAAGAGCGAATTTGTGCCGAATCCTTTATAAACTGATGAAGTTTTGCGTTGGAAATGCAGTCAGCCTACTTGAGGACATTTTTGAATCACATGTCCAACCATGACTTTGCTGCTAACTGGAAGAAGATATACTGGGGTAAAATAACTTTGCAAATTTATTTGGCAAACAGCTGGAACGGGAGTAATCGTTCCCGTTGGACGGATTACGGAAAATAGTTTGGTGACAATGAGTTTGCCAATTTATTTGGCGAACGCTTCGAACGGAAGTTGTCGATACCGTCGAACGGATTAACGGAAATAGTCAACTGAAAATAAGTTTGCAAGTTTATTTACCAGACACCTCGACCGGGAGTAGTGTAATTAACTTCCCATTTTGCATACTTGGTTTGGATACCCTTTTACCTGTCCATTAACGATTATATAGTTTTGAGTTTTGATAATCCATTACGTTTTCAGGATCGGACACACTATGAAAAATTGAGGAAATTATACTCTTCACTCCAAAGAGATACTGAAGTTGAGGAAATGGAACTTTCTTAAGCGTTTAATATGTATTATTTTCTCATTGTATTAGCACGAGAATCCAGGTCATACTTTTTACATCTTTGAGAGTAAGTGTTCAAAACTAACATAAGCACTTTGCATAGAAAATCTTGATGGAATTTGAACTGCCAAAAAATGATACTCTAGATTTTCTTCCAAATTATGGAATTAACGGTATTCAAAATTGATCATATTAGTCGTTTTTCTCACCTAGTTTTACATATAATTTAGTAAATCATGGTAACAAGTTGACAATTCCCCAAATCGCCGATATCTTTATATTAGTTTTATATTATTATGATATGTTTTGAAAAATAGTTTGATGAATGTTCAGTTAATGCAAAAACATGTAGAAGGTAACAATCTGGTGTTATTTAAATTACGTTTTTGTGTTTATGTAAAGTCCAATAAATTTCACTAGCTAAGTGGCCTATTTTTACTGAAATTCATTTTTTATTTAATACATTTTTCCCCACACACCTATATTGCACATTTCCTCTAAACTACGACTACCTAAGCTTACTTTTCAGGTTAACTATGAATGGTAACTATGAATTAACTCTCAGGTTATCAGTTTACAATGTTTCATTTGTCCTAAAACTGTAGATAGTCTTAATCAAAGAACCATCCATGAATTAACTAAGCAGGTCTAATTACACGGTAATGAGATTTTGCTTGATACTGAGACAAACTATTGAGCACAGCAACGCTAAGCATTACAAAAGGACAAAACGGCTCTCAGCCCATAGACAATTGTTTTTTTACCAAAATTTTAAAAAAGAATTTACGAGCAACTAACTCCATATTAGAATCTGTCAATTGAAAGGTAACCGGCAATTAAAAAACTCGACCTATAAAACCGTTTCTAATACGAGGGGCACGCAGTATATTTTGAGATGCGCGTTAACTATACTAGTTAAAACCGGTAACAGTGCACTATTAGAAAGGGCAGTCGTTTATTAGTAAGTCGCCGCATTCAGTTCATTTGCAAGCGTCTTCCAGTGCACGTGGTGTAAAATTTAAGAGGAAACATGGAGTTGTCTCGAGAGTTATCGCACTATGATTTACCATGAACTCAAAGTCGGTTTAACTGAACATCAATTAATCGAACGGTTACAACAGGCATTTGGTAATGAAGCTCCGTCCCGGGCAAGTATATTTCGCTGGTACGCCGAATTTAAAAGAGAGCGTGTTTCATTGGCTGATGAAGAACGTAGTGACAGGCCATGTTCTAGTGTGACTCCAGAAAACGTTGCTAAAGTTCAACGGCTAATTGAAGAAGATGCTCGCTGCACATGTGCGACTATAGAGGCAACTCTTGGGGTAGGATCCGCAACAGTGCATGATCATCTTCATTCAAAAAAGTTGTTGCAGAGATACAATCCTGCATCACGACAATGCCTCTAGCCACACTACCCAACTAACTGTATACTTTTTACGCCAGCGCCGCATCAAAATGCTAGAACATCCACCTTATTCGCCAGATTTGGCGATGTGTGACTTCTGGCTCTTCAAGAATTTGAAAAAAATCTGCGCGATCGAAATTTTTCGTCGGAAGAGGAAATCGATGAAGCAATTAATCAATTTGTTGAAGGCAATCCAAAAACTGACTGGCTAGAAGCATTTCATTTGTGAAAGGTCAGGCTACAGAAGTGCATCGATGCTGGAGAATACTTTAAACATAAATAATAAAATAGTTTTTAGTTCTCGTGTCTCAAAATATATAGCGTGGCCCTCGCATCAGGTTTGACTCTTGACTAGAGGATCGTCTTTAGGTTATCTGTAGTTCAACTCAAGGCTGAAAAACTAGGGTTGCGTAGTTATATGGAAATAAATTTGAAGGTAAAAAAAAAAATTATCTGCCGATATTGATGGTATTGGCGAGGACACCCCTCTCGGCGTTTCTGCAATCCAAAGTATTGAAAAGCCTTCTATTGTAGAAGCGTCGAATCTATAGGACGAGCAAGACCACAGAAATGCGATGAGGCATGGAAAAATTACTCTGCTCTTGAATTTCGATGGTACTGGAACACCAGTCGTCATTTCTGCATTCAGTTTAACTAAAATCCACACATCGTTTCTATGCAGTGTTTTATTAATGTTAATTTGCTATCGGGATCATAGGAATGCGAGGAAGTATGAAAAATTGCTCCTCATACCAATACAATAATCCCTGATTTTCAAGGGCACTAAAGTACTTTGAATAAAGCAAGTTTCAAAATTAACTGGTACATATAGTTATTCAATAAATATATACAAAAATATTTTTAGCTTATTCTAAATTAGTATAAAATGCACCTGTTTTATACATCCCAAGTTATTTTCAGCATTTAGCTGAACATCACATAATCAATACCCTCTTTCAAGTTCAGTTCGCGTAGATTATTCTCAAACACCCCTTCAGTGAGATCCTGAAACGAAGAAATTAGAAACTGATTTTCATTTGCTTCTGCCTCAAAGAGGTCCCAGGTTAAAAGTCCAAGCACTGCTGAGCACAAAAATTGATGTTTAGCCATAGATCTCATCTTTCTTATGCCTTCTCATTATGTAACAATTGGTAACAACAGATGTTCTAGCAACATGAAATATCAATTATATATGAAAACGAAATGAGCATTACCAGTTTCATACAAATCACAAATGGAGGGTTGGCATCTTTAAAATGTAGTATGTCAATCTCCTTCCCTGACTTTCTTTCCAGTGGGTCATATGGTACATACTTCTGGCCGATCTTGTTTCTGTCCACATCACACAGAGCTATTACTTTACTTTTATTTTCCTCTGATAAAGAATGATATAGTTTTCTACCTTGCTTTCCAGCATTCCAAATGGTAAATTTTGTCCAGCTGCTTAAAATTACTCTTTCTAATCGTTCGACCCTCAAATTCCATATTGTATCCCTGAAATTTTGGTTGGTTTTAGGATAGAATCTGTGGAGTATTGATGTTTTCAATGATGATTAAACTATACATCACAGATTATAATCTTTATCACCAAATAATACGTACTCGTGTATGGAAAATGATGTCTGATTGGGATGGTATGTATAAATCAGTAAAACTTCATCCACACGTAAAATTTTTCCACCCAAATCCAAATGTTTATAGAAAAATACTAAATCTTCAGGCGTCCCTTTTTTGCTTTCAAAAAATCCGCCAACTCTGAAACAAAAGGTGCCGTTGCATCTCCGTTTTTGGTCGGTAAGTGTAATCATAATTATTGGGGAGATTAAAAAAGATAGGCAGGTGGATCAGATAACTACGGAACAAGTTCCAGAAGTTAAAAGTGTCAAATTAAATATACTTTAACCTTCAAATTATTGCCATACTGAAAACGCTGGAGATATTTTACCTGTTATACACCTCGCGTTCACAGAACCATGTAGGCATGATAACTGTAGGACCATGAGATGTAAACACTTGTAACTCCAGTTGTTTTGGCGATAAAGAATTAGCCCATTTTGTATACCTTGAGGTAGAGTTCTCAGGATCGCGCTTAAATTTACACCCAATAATCTAGAAGATATTAAAGAGGAATACTGAAAATCAAAATATGTAATTGGAAAATTATAAACATTTAACCATTCAACATACGCATCCTTAGCATGTGTGTGTTACTACTAGGTTCAGTCACTTTCAATTTTTTGAACAGAGAGAGAAAAACCGTGAGAAAGCAGGGCTAGCATAGGCTAAGGAATGACAAGAGCAAAATTTCCTCTTTGGAACACACAGCCATGAGAAAAATCACCCATTTCATCAGCAAATATGAGCAAGATTTAATTCTTCTGTGGGTATTTGCAGTCTATTTAAGTGTATGTATGTAAGTTTTAATTATGTCTATACAATACGTGAATAAACTTATTATTATTATTATTTATTCTTCCAATTAACCACTGCAGTTACAACCTACCATGGACGCGTGAGTAGCTGAGTGGATATCGTGTCGAGCTACTAATCGGTCGACCCGGAAGCTCGCAGGTTCGTATCTCCTCACCGGCAGTTAATTCCGAACCATATATGTTGTGTTGTGTGTTGCCTATATTAAGCACCAGATCAGTGCAAGATGAACAAAGGCACATCGCATGGCTAGCGCGGGTTTATTCAGAAACTGGTTAACAGTACATGACTTTAGGTATCAGAAAGCATGCCATGCACAAAAAAAAATGTACCTCTATTTATTTCTATTTTAAATTCATGTCAGTCAGGTTTTCATTCATAATTTTATTCAAAAGAATCATATACTCAACTGCACTGCTGCCGTGTTTTAGAGCCATTTCATATTGCATTAATATTCTGCCAGGAAGCATAACATCGTCCTAAAATATAAAATACTTATATTCACTAAACTAAGACCTTTGGACATAATTTGATTCATATTAGTTTTATTTACATGAAAATGTGTTATAAAATGGTTATAAGAATCAAATTAATTGTTTGCAGATGAGAACTAAATAATTAGGTAATATTACTTTTACAATTTTGTAAATAAATATTATTGTTAATTAAAGATATTGACTTGTAGATAACCACTATAGAGTATTCTGTGTGTCCAATTCTTGTGTATTCAGAACACTCCACTGCAAAATTATCCACATTTCTCTATTTTGAATTTGTGGTGAGCCTATTTTATTCTTGCCGAAGAAATACAATAAAGATGAATGGGACTTTATTATTGCATTATAAATTGTAATTTTTTGCAAAGATTGATAGCTGTTTAGAAAATCACTCTGACTTTTAAAATTTAGGTTTTTGCCTAATATAAATACCATACGTATGTTATTTCAGCAACTATATCAAGAGCTGAATTTTCAACTTTGATATGGATGTTAGCTTCTATTATATTCAAGTTCTTGTTTCTGACTGCTTTCGATTTTTGAGCATTCAGCTTCAATTTGCTTATTTTTTTATATGCTTCAATATGTGCAAGATTACAGTTCATAGTATCATTAGCCTAGCCCAGGTTTTGACATCAGCAAATAGATTCATCAAGCTACTTCTCTAAACAAGTTCCATATCATAGGGATAAAAAAACAACACCAAAACCTTAGAAGAAGAGATGGAGGAACTGATCTGAGTCCTTTGTCTTATATTGCTCAAAAAACTGATTATTCATTTTAACCATGTCACCAATTCTGTATTGTTTTAACTTATTTATCAATATTTTTTGTCTATGTATTGGATATATACTTGTGTGTAAAGATGATCAACACCATAATAGTACTAACCCTTTCAAAATGTAATCATCTAGTTAAAATGTTTTTTGTAATACTTCTCAGAATTAAAAGCTACAATATATAATGTAGTATCGTAAGGCATTTTGATACCTATATTATTGAATAAATTATAATCTTATGTATTCAAGGGTGTCAGTAAATGTTTGTCCCAGGAATTCAAGATTTCTAAAATATAGACTATAATAGCACCTCTTGACGATGATAAGTATAAAATATGTTGTTTTCTAAATCATACAAACATGCCTGGAGACAGACGAAGTAATATAGTTCATGATTTTTTTTTATGAATTCAAAACTCTATCCACTTGTGGTCATCCAAAAGCAGCAAATGCAACCAACAAACCAATCATGAAACTCATTAGAAGATGACAGAAATGTCAACAAGTCATGAGGTTTCAATAGAAGAACAAATAAAGTTATAATTACTCACAATATCTTGGAAACACAAATACTGTCCCCTGCTTATGCTGATAGCCTTATTTTTTGAAAATCCAACTGTAACAATAAAATATGTACAGTCAAAGTAAAAAATAGAATCTACAAGTAATACCTCCTCCAGGGGTTGTAGATACATTGTTGAATATCTTCAGAGGGATCCCCATACTCTTAAAAATGTCTTTCCATTCACTTAACTTGTGAAGGGTGCCATCGGTACTCGAGTCATTGCATATGCATATCTCTATTGTTAGTTGATTTAGAGCAGTTTGTTCAAGAATTCCTTCAAAACAGCGCTTCATCCAATTCTCACCATTATGAATGGGAATGATTATGCTCTAAAAAAGGCTCCATAAGCGAATATGCATTCATTAAACTCTTATAAAAACCACTTACCACAGAAGGAGTGTTGTCATTCATGGTTAAACATTACGAAAATGATGCCGAATACTTCCAATTTGAATATTATTACCTATCAAAATCTATTCAGCTGATAAAGGTTAAAAACTATTTTCAAAAATACGAAAATTGAAAAGTCTCATGATGTCAGAAACGTGACTGACAGTAACGACGTCTATCAAAAAGTTCTGGTAGGCAACTACTATATCACTGTCGTAGTGTTGGTTGACTACCTTTATAGGTGGCGCTAAGCGCATTTGTTGTGATTGGTAATTCTGTTGTTTACAAATGGCACCTTGATACGTCAAATTTGATATTCAAATGAGGTTTAATTTTGAAATATTCAATTATATTTTGGTGGTATGGGAAATCTACTATGTTGCCGTAAAAAGAAAATTAGGCAGTAAGTCTACTTGTTAACCAAAGTCGCTTTCACTGGTTTATTAAACGTCATACCTATATTTTTTTCAGGAAGATTGTGCTGTTACTAGTAGGATTAGATAACTCTGGAAAAACTAAGACCGCATATGGTTTAGGAGGAGACATGCACAGAAATCCTATCCCTAATCCAGGTTTCTCTGTAGTGGATTTGAAATACCGTGATTCCGATGTAAAGATTCTTGATTTAGCTGGTGGACCAGACATGAGAGGATTCTGGCACAAATATTATGTGGATGTGAGTAAATGGAAAACTATGGCTCTCAAACTGTGTAATGGGATGCGCTAAAGCATCATGTGTTCTCGACGGGGCTGCCGCGAAATATTCAGCAAGTCGTAAAAAAATTGACGTTACGAATGTTCGTTTATTTTAAAGACCCATGTAAGGGCTGAGTCATCAGTTATCTTTATGGTTGAATAGAAAAGATTTATCGACGTATAGTTTTTATTATTTCTGTGAAATGGCTACATTCTGGAATTTTAATTTTCGACGCGGTCGAGCTTTTCGAGCGTGGTATTTGGCGACCGTTATCGTGCCATGACACTATATATTTTCTACCTAAATATCAAGAAAATGATCTTCAGAACATTTGCAACTAGGTTTTTCGCTTTGGGCCGATAAATTGGCCGCCTAAATGGTCTTACTCTTTCCTCTACATGCATAAGTAACAGTGACGTAGCTATACTTGGGAGGCACTGGGTGCGAGACTTAGTGGTGCCACCCCACCAAAAGTAAAAAGCATAAATATTTGATACTCGTCTTAGGTTATTTGTGCATATTTAAAACCAGTGGATGCCCGCAATCCCGTTTGAGTGAGTGAACCCTCTTTATCGCAGTCGGTTAAAAAGCATCCTATGCGTGAAATGCATGAGTTGTTAGGACGTCGTAAAACATTTTTACTTGTCGTTTTGCCAACAAGCCAACCAGTCGTGTTGGAAAAATGTCAAGCAAAAATGTTTTATGGCGGCCTTACAACCCAAAAACCAACCAAATAAAGCATAGTATGCCCTCAGTTGCCCATATGGGATATATCTCTATACCATAATTGAACACATACATTCTCGTATTCATATATGTATTATTTATTTTTATTTTTCTGTTCTTGATATTGGGTGTATATTCGCGGTAAAATCCATATAAAAGCTTCATCCTTTTCTACTTTCAGAATAGGCTGAAGTTAGTGAAGTTTGACATTGACAAATTTATGTAGTGAGAAGCAATCTTATCTCAGCATAGAATTATTTAAACAATATTCATTCTTCATCCTTATTTTATCTCATCAATGAAGTAGAAATTTACAATTCCCTGTACTTTGTTAATGCGGCATTATATAACATAATATGCTTATATAGTTGTTGTCACCGTTCTTGGCGGGTCAAAGTATCCCTTTATTTATCTCCTTATCCCTCATACACACACTTACCACCGTTCTTGGCAGGTCAAAGACTACCAGTATTCCTTTATATATCTCCATCTCTCTCATACATACGCATACAACCTACCCCTGTGTGTGAACGTTTGTTCGGTAAGCTCAAAGACATACGTTTTTTAGTTGTGTCTCCGTCTCGAAAACTTTGTCGCTGCGTATGAGTGCCCTTCAACCATATTTGTCAGGGTGACAACTTACTTGACATCGGCGTGCAATTCGAATTTTCCTGTTATCAATCTTCAATATAAAACTGTACTATGCACGGAAATACGATCAATGGAGAAGACCGACAGCTCGTGCTAAATTTATTAGAGTATTTCGAGGAAGAGGATGAAAACAGCGGTCCCCTGTTGATCATTTCATGCGTACTGGAGAGTAGCAGATGCGCTGAAGATTAGTCACTAGTGTTCCGCCCACGATACGGAGACTCGATCTGTCCACTTGTTTCATATGACGTTGATGACGTAACCGCCAAGAACGGTGACTACAACTATATGAACTTTTATTATTATTGGATGTTCTTCCTGCACCACCCTGTATAATAAATCTACCCTTAATTCTAGGCACATGGCGTAATTTTTGTCATCGACTCCAGTGACTATTCCCGTTTCAACGAAGCAGGAGCGGTTCTTGAGGAGATCATGTCAAGTGACAAAATAGCCGGCAAACCACTGTTGCTATTAGCAAACAAACAGGATAACGAGAATGCTGTAGACGAAGTTGACATTATTGAAAGCCTTCAAATAGAGCGACTTGCAAACACAAGAAGATGTCCTACACTGGTACAGAGCTGCTCAGCAAACGAACAGGATAGTGATAGGTTAGATCCTGGTATCAGACAAGGATATGATTGGCTGTTAGGTACCATTATACGAAATTACAAAACGTTACATGAAAGGGTCACAAAGGAAGCTGCAGCACAGGATCAGATAGAGAATGCTGAGATGCTTGAAAGAATAGAGCAGATAAAACAAGCTAAGTTGGTAGAAGAAAAGAATAATATAGATGCTATTGAGACATATTCAGATTATATTAGAAAACTGAATGACACAATCGAACTTCAAGAGACTCAAAATAAGGAAAGTGATGGAGTACTGACATTCGATGAGGCATTAAATGCATTGCCACTTTCTAGGACAAGTTCCAGTAGTTCTTCTATATCGTTTCCTCCAGTTTATGTCCATCCTGATTATGGACTTCCAGAAAGACCCAAATCTGCAGTCCAGATAGTCAAACATCAGCTTCAGATGAACGGTTCCCTGAGAAAACAACCCTTGAAATCTAGATCCAATAAAACCACCCCTATTAACCTGTACGACATTAAAACACCTCAGTCTGCTAAAGAGAGAAGAACAAAGTTCCCTCTAGATACACGGAATCTTAAGTCAGCTGATGACAGGCTATTTACTATTTGTAACACTTTGCCAAATGCAACAAGTGAAATGGGGCCCAGTGGGGATCATTATTCTCAGTTGCGAGAGTTAAGTGGTCAAAATAAGAAACTCCCTTATAGTAATGGGATGCCTAGGATGCATAACGAAGGTGGTGATCGGAATTTGACAGTGATTGATGTCGAATAAATATTGTTTAAAGAATATCGATTATTGGTGCCTTATAAAGTAAGTTTATATTTTTATACGCATTTTCACTAGGTGGTGGTACTAAGGACAGTTAAACGATGAAAAACTATTATGTGAAGAATAAATTCACAAGCACTTCAACAAAATGGATTCAAAAGACACGTGTCAAAATTCGAAAGAAGAAAAAACTTCACCAAGCATTGAGGAATGCTTATTATTACTAAAAAACATTTAACTTGTGCGAAATAAAATCTGAAAAACGACCGAAATACCGAATTTTCCTATATGATTCTTACAGCAAAATGTTATAAAAGATTTAACCAAAATTTTTGTACTTCAAATATTTCCATACAGCCCTCAACTTGGAATCAGCGCAACAATATTTGTTCCAAATTCAAATTTTAACCCCAGAAACGTTAATTTCAAAACGTATCTGTATCTCGTATATAGCTAAGTAATGTTGTGTTAATACATGTTCTAGTTATTTTATACAAGATCTCATTTTTGTACTGTACATTTTGTATTCAAATAAAAATTGAAAATTTCTTTTACATTTTATTTAACAAAGTTACCATCAACGTACAATTAAAATATATTTAAAAATTTCTTATATTCTATATCATTTTCGCTTAAATAAAGAACATATTTAACATAGTAAAATATATAAAGATCACAATTTACCTTATCCAAATAATTTTTGTGTTCAGTAGCAGCTGTATTCTTTTAAACTGCTTCATGTGACAGAAGTATATACCAAAATAAGAATGATGAAAGTGATCAGAATAACCAAATAATCTTTGAGAAGCATGAAGAAATACGCTAACGAGTAAATCAATTATATCACTTTTTGAACTCTGTAGCGGAAGTACTCAAAACAAGACAATAAAGAACAGATTCAATCACACGATCAATATGACCAGTACAATTATAGCAGATATTTACAATTTTTTGATGCCAAAATAAATAAATAAAAGCATGAAAGCAATAATTATAATGATATAGCTTTTGAGAAGCAGGGAGAAATTATATCACTTTTTGATCTAGGCAGTTCTCTAAACAACACAACAGAGGTTTGATTCGATAAACTGTTCAATTTGATCAGTACAAACAGAGCGAAAGAATACAGCTGACGTACACCAAGTAAAAAAATAAATCATGACCACCAAATCGCATTTTAATACATACTACTAAAGCAATACTGTCCAGTAATAAATCAATCAAAATATAATTTGACTTCAGTGTATATTATTTATGGATATTTCATTACAGCAGGAATATTCTTCTTATTACAAGTAAGATTATGATGGATATTATGATCCAGATGACAGCTGTCCACAGTTGATCTCTGAAAACGAGTAATTAATGGAATGTGTAAGCCATATTATTTAACAGAAAGGTAAGCTTTCGGTAGCTGCACCAAACTTCTGCAACGAATTTAACCACTGATCAACGAAAAACCGGATGACTTTCGCACATATGGCAACTGTCACAAAATCATTGTCAATACTTGCATTCGTCAAGTTAACGGCACTATGTAGTAGTAGAGGGCAACAAACCCTTTGACCCTTTTGCCGACCTTGTAGTACCAACAATGTACTACACCACGAGCAATCTACTGGAATCTGATATACCCGTGAGCTCCCGATTGCTAGGTCGACATGCTGACTACCGAGCTACCGAGGCTCCTTTAACGGCATTTCACAAGTCACAAGGCTTTGTTATACTTCGGACAGCTGAACGCGCCCAATGGTCGCATATCTAATAATTTATTTCTCGAAATAGATATTCAACAAATGTTACTTCCAACTGCTAAAACTACAAATGAGTCGGCCTCAGAGTAAATTCGCATCAATTGGAGAAGGAATTATGCATCAGTCGTTTTTAACGCAGATTCAAATGCTAATGGGACTCAACAACGTGAAATGATTTCAGTATACTTACTTGTTGCTTCTGTTAATAGATGCTGTCAGTAGTGCGTCAGTGTTGGGCAAACTAGTGCTGACACTTGAGTGTGCTGCTGTTATTGTGATTCTTTGCCTTATTTCTATATTTCCATCTTCTAAATCCTCTGAAGGTTGTTCATTGCTTGTTGTGGGTCTTGCTTCGCTTTTATTCGCGTCCTCTTCAGCCTAAAATTGGAATTTTAGTGTCTTCCGAGCTAAACTATAATCACATATTTTTCCTTGCTATGCTATCCTAAGTCACTAAAAGTACCGCTCAAGTGTATCACTTCACCACTATCATGAAATCGGGCCTGGAGATGGAAGGGAAAGCTTTTTGTATCACACTATTACTGAACCTTAGGCCTTTACGGGCTCGACATTACAATTTAATATTGGTTGCAGGACAATTTGCAATATTTCTTTTTATATTGGCTCAACATTAATTTCAATATTGGTTGTATGTAACATTTTGCGTATTGTCGCAATCAATGTAAACAATACGGGTTCAACGTTGATTTACAGTATTAATTCTATTCTTTATTGACTCAATATTGATATTCAATATTGGTTACAAGACATACTTTGTTTATTGTCCCAATCAATTATAAAAATACTGAAGGGCCCCATTGTCTGGCCGAATCAGATCACATATATATTCATATTTGAATATAGTATATATGTGATAATAAGTACACAAAACGTATTTCATTGAAAGTAATAGAATTTACGATAGTACGTCCATCTCTCTTGTACGGCTCCCTGGTCTGGTGGCCTTGCATTAGAACTGAGTCAACTAAGGCCAAACTCAATAAAATTCAGCGTTTGGCCTGTATTAGCATTACAAGCGCAGTGCGAACAACGCCATTGAGTGCAATGGAAGCTCTGTTGGATCTCCCACCGTTGGATCTGGTGATCCGCGGTGAAGCGAGAGTAGTCGCTCATCGACTGTGGAGTCAGGGCAGCTGGGCTTTCTTGAATCCGGTCAAGGGGCATACTGCCATATTAGTCGAATTAGATAGGGAGGACCCCGTCCTTCTAAGCAGGGGTGATCGTATTACCCCTAAATATCGCTTCAACCGCAAGTTCATTGTGGAGTACCCAACGAGGGAGGAGTGGGACGCCGGTAGCCGAGGACTCTCCGAAGTGAGCGGGCAGGTCTGGTACACGGACGGCTCGGTCACCGAAGAGGGCTCAGGTGCTGGGGTCTCTGGACCTAGAACTAGGCTATCTCTGCCTCTCGGTGAGTACACCACCATTTTCCAGGCGGAAATCTTTGCGATTCTGGCTTGTGTATCTCACATTCTGGAGGAGGGTGGGCCTAGGAGAAGAATAACAATCTTATCCGACAGCCAGGCTGCAATGAAAGCACTAAGTGCATGTAAGATTACTTCGAGTCTTGTATTGCAATGCAGGGAGGCTCTGGATTGCCTCGCAGCGAGGCATCCGGTATCGTTAATATGGGTACCGGGGCACGCTGGGATAAGGGGCAATGAGACGGCGGACACTCTGGCGAAAACAGGATCAGCCAGCAAGCTCGTTGGTCCTGAGCCAGCTCTAGGAGTAACCGCGCATAAAGCTAGGAGGAAAATGGAGACGTGGGTTGCAAGACAACACTCTCAGAAATGGAGAAGTATCTCTAGACATCTCCGCCAGGCACGAGAGCTCATTGAAGGGCCCAGTGCTAAGGATGGACGCTTCTGCCTATCTCTGGGTAGAGCCAACCTAAGGTTGCTGGTGGGACTGTTGTCTGGCCATAACACGTTAAGGCGGCACCTGCACGTGATGGGGGTGGCTGAGGATCCCTTATGCGAACGCTGCGGAGTAGAGGAAGAGACCTCGGCGCACGTTTTGTGTCGCTGTGAAGCTCTGAGCTACTATAGGCAGACTATACTGGGGTCCATTACTTTGGACCCTCAGGACGTAAAGGAGCTTGGACTCAAGGCGATTCTCAACTTCGCTAAAAGGGCGAGGCTTGTGATTTAAGTATTGTAGAGGTGCATAAGGGCCCGCTTAAGCGGCCTATGCACTGGCTCCTTATGGTGGCCGGGATGCCTCTAAAATTCAAGATTCATTCATTCATTCATCATGAAATCGGGCCTGGAGATGGAAGGGAAAGCTTTTTGTATCACACTATTACTGAACCTTAGGCCTTTACGGGCTCGACATTACAATTTAATATTGGTTGCAGGACAATTTGCAATATTTCTTTTTATATTGGCTCAACATTAATTTCAATATTGGTTGTATGTAACATTTTGCGTATTGTCGCAATCAATGTAAACAATACGGGTTCAACGTTGATTTACAGTATTAATTCTATTCTTTATTGACTCAATATTGATATTCAATATTGGTTACAAGACATACTTTGTTTATTGTCCCAATCAATTATAAAAATACTGAAGGGCCCCATTGTCTGGCCGAATCAGATCACATATATATTCATATTTGAATATAGTATATATGTGATAATAAGTACACAAAACGTATTTCATTGAAAGTAATAGAATTTTGCGAAATAATCTTAATTTTCAGGTACATGTTAAAAAAATGCTAAACTTTGATGCAAATATGGCAACATTGTTTCTCCCTGAAAGGAACATTCTTTCAATCATGTTTATGAATTTGAATGGAAACCTCTGCTGGAAGCGATTATTAAAACACTTTTACACCAAGTGAGGTATCTTGGGTTTTGTGAGTTACGGGAAATCCAAGTGCAGCATTATGACATTTTAGCGTATATTCTGCAACAAATATCGCAAAATAACATATTGATCCGATTTAGCCCAAAGGGATAACCAAATGTATTTTCCAAAATTTAGTCAATATAGGGTGAATATAAGGTAACGAATATTCGCTGAACGATAAACAACATTAAAGTAATATTAATCGACAACATTCGTGCTATATAGGCAGGGAGAATATAAGGCCAATATACATTTTAACAATATTGTACTTCCGCTATCCGTTCGACATCCTGCCAATATTTATCCGCTATATTTTTCGAACGTAATTATAATATTGTGCCAATATTCTGCAACCAATATTGCAAAAAACATATTGATTCAATATAGCTCAACAGAGAAAATACAATGTTGAATTTTCCAAAGTATAGCCAATATAAAACAAATATAGGATTACGAATATTCGCTGAACAATCAAGAAACAAGGTTTATAGATAATATTAGTGTTATATAGGAAGAAACAACCTCTGCCAGGAATACAATATTTGGCCAACATCTACTTGTAATATTGTGTTTACGAACGCAATTACAATGTTGTGGCAATACTCTACAATCAATATCGCAAAATAACCTGTTGGGCCAATATTGGCTAAAAGGTACCTATGTTGTTTTTTCCAAAGTTTAGCCAATATAGGGCAGATATTGGTGTTTGTTTAGTGCCCTAATATGAATATGGACCCAATATAAAAGCAATGTTCAGCCAATGTCCTGTGATACTTGGGATGAATATATCACGCCTGCAATAAAGGTCAAATTAAATATAATTTTACCTTCAAAGCAATTTGTTTGATCAAACTAGTTTCCTCTTCTGTCAACTTGTGTCCTGAACCATCACTTCCTGCCCAGGCCAATTTGTCTGCAATCCTCCCACATATCTGGCACTCCCACGTTTTTGATTTCTTGGCCAAGTGTTGTCTCTCCTCAGGCGTGTAATCTAGAGAGCCAATTGTGCCTGCAGCAGGTGTTGGCATAAAGGCTATCAACGCCAGAAGAGCTGTTCGTATCGACCATGATGGTTGCCAGCTTTCAGGGTGGTGACCGGATATGGACAGACAGATTTTTTTGTTCACTTCAAATCTACCGTTTGGCTACAAATATAAAAGCAGCACGTGTTTATTGTGCATACAGAAAATTACTATTCATGTACTGTCTGTCTGGGCAATCTATAGATCTCTGCTTGTCAGTGTAAAAAAAAAACAAAATCAACATGTGATTCAAGAGAACAGGATGGAGAAGAAAAGAACGCCTGGCATTGTTGCTTGGTAAGCTAGATCAGATATTAGGGTGTTCGGGTGTACTAAAAATTAAAATTGCTTGACTTGTAGTCTACTGATCCAGTCAACAGAAGGTTATACGAGGGATGTCTTTTAAGTTTTGCATATAGAAACATAGTAGGCCGCGCGGATCGAACGTCAGTACTGAATCTTAACCTCACTCTCTAGTAAACTTAAATTCAAAGTTTCACTTCAACACGTGCAGTGTTCTCACTACAGTGAATTTTTAAGTATCACCAAGTCATTAGAAAAATGGAACTCAACCGAGAACATTTTCGCGCCATAATTTATTACAACTTGCAGAGACAACTATCGCAAAAAGAATGCCTTGCTGAGTTACTGTCTGTTTTCGACAACGAAGCGCCACTTCAGTCGACAATTTTCCGTTGGTATGGAGAATTCAAACGTGGACGGGTGAGTCTTAGCGACGATCCCAGGGCGGGTGAACCAAAAACGGCAGTCACCCAGGAAAACGTCGATGCTGTGCGCAAACTCATCATTGAAGATAAACATGTGACATATCGCGAGATTGAGGCGTCCTTGAAGATCTCAAAGACCTCAATTCAAAATATTTTACATGAAGAAATAGGAGTAAGAAAATTAGTTTACCCTTGGATACCCCACCTGTTGACTGAAGAGCAGAAAGCAGCCAGGGTTAATTGGTGTCAAAAAACGCTTGATCGTTTCAATTCCGGAAACTCAAAAAATGTGTACAGCATTGTTAGTGGTGACGAATTGTGGATTTACTCTTATGAACCAGAAAATAAACGACAGTCGGCTGTTTGGGTGTTCCAAGGTGAAGAAAAGCCAACAAAAGTCATCCGTTCTCGAAGTGTTTCGAAAAAGATGGTCGCGACATGTGTGTCAAAAGCGGGTCATATTGCAACAATTCCTCTTAATGAGCAAAGAACTGTTACTGCGGATTGGTATACCAATACCACCATTTGTTTGCCAAAAGTCATCACCGAGCTTCGAAAAATCAACCCCGAAAGAAGAATCATCCTCCACCATGACAATGCAAGCTAGCACACAGCTCAAAAAACAAGGCAGTATGTAACGGAAGAAAACGTGGAATTATTGAACCATCCTCCATATAGTCCCGATCTAAGTCCTAACGATTTCTGTACTTTCCCGAAAATTCAAAACAGACTGCGTGGTCAAAGGTTAAAATCACCAGAAGAAGCAGTTGACGCATTCAAAAATGCCGTTTTGGATCTGCCAGCAAACGAGTGGAATAAGTGCTTCGAAAATTGGTTCGAGCGCATGCAGATGTGTATTAATCTTCGTGGAGAATACTTCGAAAAACAATAAATTCATTTAAAACTACCTACCGTGTTGTTTTATTTCCATATGTAAAACTTAAAAAACATCCCTCGTATAACAAAAATCCGCTGGATAGTAACGTCGCCTGGAGGTTGATATAACCCCTAAAGTAAAAGACTACAAGATATCTGTTTAGGGTCTAGTTTGAAAGATATCATGAAGAGTCAGTAATTATTTCTAAGGTACTACTCTGCTTTGTGTATGTATGTCCTCGCAAGGAGAAATCAAGCAGAGCTAATAGCCAGTCTAACAATCAATTTGTATACCCTATTTCACGGTTATCCATCACGCGTTGACGTCTACTGCGGTAGTAAAACCTGTTAATAGGGTTTTGTTTTTTGTATGCAAATGAACTTTTCTAAATGAAAGATCTGTTAGCAAGTACAAAATGAATCTGTAGCGTACAAAAAACAAAACAAAATTAGGCTCTGTCTACCTGGCGTTGACGGATCCGTCAGAATCATGATGTGCCCTGTGCCGATATGGGGAATTTTCAGATATTACTAGATAATCAGCTGTCATTCTACAGTGATGGATACTCGTGCTCGTGAAATAGGGGATATGTTCACAGCCACCTTGCAACCAGATCATCAGTGAGATTAGATAGTGGTATAGAGCAAGCTTAGAGTTCAAGGCAGATTATTATTTTCATGTTTTTTATAGTGATGTCACATGAAAACTTTCACTGAAGCTTACTTGGACACGCTTTGCAATGGAGTGCAACCACTAACTTGAACCATTGGTTCAGATAAGTTTCAACCTCCTTGTCTTTACCACCATCACAATACAAAAGTTTTGTGGTTTATTTTCAAGATGAACATCTAGTATCACACTGTTCAGACATAACCACCTGAACTGCTTATTATGAAATGTGGTGCATGTTTTAAGGGTTGAAGAAAAGCTGAGGGACATATTGGAATGGGTAGATTTCTCGCAGGTATAAAAAATGAGCCTATCATAATATAAAAGACTCCCCAAATATATTTTTTGCTGCAAAAAGTATATTTGTAGCTAAAAAAGGTGTTCAGAAGGCACTCTCAAAGTAGTGGGGTGCAAATTTAAACACTTCAGTGGACAATACTAAACTAATAAAATACAATACAAACTATTTTCATCAGGTTATATAATAGTAATATTCATAAAATATAATTGTGTATAGGTGAAATGTGGTTATATTATAATGATACAATACCAAAATAATTCTGAAATATTAACAAAATAAATGGCGGCCTTAAAAATATTTTATTCAAAGTAGTGTAGGTATATTTAAAGAACAACTAAGAGTAAATGGCAAAAGGACTACTTTGCAAATAATCAAGAAAACTATTTGCAAACACTGTTGGTAACTTGCCATTAAACTTCATTAAATTTTACTATAAACAACACATGTCGCTGCTTCTCAAGAGTAGTGATACTATCCAAAAAACCGGAAAAATTAGTTAAAAGTGCAGATCCACTCCAAATGTTGACTATTTTATCAGAAATATACATTTGAAACTGTTTCAAAGTATTCGCCAGAGTCAGTCGTTGTTCGTTAATTGAATGTTTTGGGCTTCTGTCATGAATAATGTCATTATTGCAGTTGCGACTTGACTTTCAAAGAGTATACTTACATTTTTCTCAACAATAACGTCATATTAGAGCAAAGTACGCTAATAACCGATAGTGTTAATCAAAAATAGTGTCATAAAGTGCATTGTGACTATCTTCCTACAACATAAAAATTCGGAAAATGAGTCATTCACACTATCCAATGTTAAAATAATAAGGGTAGAATCTCAACATTCTAGAATATTTTTGTAAAAAGCTCGTACAGTGAGACTGATTTTCGTAAGTTGAGGTAGATGAAAAATCTTATAGAAGATCTACGAAAAATTAAGCAACAAAAAGAGGTCCTAGAGTTACACTGAAAAAAGCATACAAAAGTAAGATTCCCATTTCTGAGAAAAAGAAAAGCGCCTTACTTGATTTAATAAAAAAAATATAATACCCTCATACTATAAGGGATTTTAAAATAATTTGTAACCAATTTTTGTATTGTACTTGTTTTTTTTCTGTTCTTACCTTTGATTTTTTAGTTCCACGTAAAATGTTAGTGTATCATTGGTTGTAATACTAAAATAAATTTTCCCTCTTTGTTCTGTAACCATGAATTGTTTGTCATATACTTTTTAGAAGTGCATTATTTTTGTTGAGGAATAATGACACATTCCTGTAAAGTTGCAAAAAAAGTAATAAAATGGGATATTCTTGAAAACATACTGATCTTTCATTCAATGAATCTGAAAGTTCAATGAGCATTATTTAATTGATAATTTTTCTAAATCCAAATTATTAACTTTATCTTCAAAAAATATTAAAAATGCCTCTTCCGAAAAAAGCTTTTTTTGAATAGTGTCACTAATCTTGAGAAACAGTGATTGTGTAAAAGTATAATTTGTACTTTATCAACCAGGAATAATCTCCCCTAGTACCTACAATGTTAGCTCTATTACACTTCTAGCCTAAACACTAACATACCGTCATTGTTTTGATGAAACCTCCTATGTAACAATTTGTCCATATCGGAGCTTTCTAAATATCTGTATAGTCAAATATAAGCTCTGTGATCTGATGTATACGAGTTTCATAATAAGGACAGGACATAATTCTGTAGAGAAATGTGGTAAAAATCAGGGTGAATGGAAACAAAATATAGGAGTTTTCATCAAAGCAATGATGTTATTTTATGTTGTAACTGTATATGCCTGGATTAATAAATTATAAAGACAGATAGATACTCACAGTTAGTAAAATGATATTTGGTGGCTGCATTGGATACTGAGATGGTAGTAAGATCCTACCATGATAGCAGCCACCATCAAATTCTGTAGATGGTGGCCCTCTTACAGTAAAATGCCATTCAAAGAGGTTATCATCCAAAGGGCAAGCGTGAAATTCTTCTGTGGGACTGGCGAGCTCGAATGCTTCTCTCATTAACCGTTTTACTCCTTAAATAAATTGTTAAAAATTAGTATCTTCCTTAAATGTATGACAAAAACATTTTTTACCTGGACTTTTCAAATTATATTTATTTTCTAGCGACATATCGTCGATGTACTGAAATTTTCAGGAACTGCTGATATATGAATTTGATACACTTTTTGAGACGATGATTTGATAATTGATTGAATGACAAAATCACAATAAAAATCACCTTTTTGACTCTTATCAGCTGACACTTCAAATTGATGGCCGCTTTTGAATCTGATTGGTTGATTTTCTATTTTCACACGTTTTAGTAGGCCAATGATATTACAGAAACGTGTCCGTCATCCGTAAATGACGTATCCCAAAATGCAGGATGCCACGTTCTGATATATATACTGATTTTTGCTGGAATGAAACCTATCTGAAATCTAATTCATATTCGAATATTCAAATATTTACCTTGCTGTTCAAAAAATTGTTTCAAAACTGCAGCATGAGTTGTTCTGCCACTATGTTTATCTTCGCTAGCACCTATTAACCCTATTCACCAGAGGTTCATAATTGCCTGCGAAAGCAGTGAAAAAAAGCGAATAGAAGCGCCAGTCATATACTTCCATTTGTTTTGATTAGAATTTATGTAAGTTCTATGCTACTATGCTAGTGTTGGCAATGACTTGACCGGCACGGTTATTATAGAAAAAAATTAAAAAAACGTAAAAAAAAACAAACGAAATGTCATCTTGCAGACTAGGTAGCTTGCTCGCTATGATCGCTGTTCGCTGACGTTTAAGCAACACGTACAGAGCTACAGTACGAGTGCACAAGAAGTGTGCAACAGCTTGTGCTAAGTTAACATCTCGTACAAAAACATACGGAGTATAAAAAAAAACTGGAAATTTGAAAAAACGAACGAAATGTCACTTTGTAAGATACGTAATACCCGTGCCGAACTAAAAAATACCTAGTCTGCAAGATGACGTTTCGTCGGTTTTTTGGCATTTTTCATGATTTGCTACATAATAGCCGTGCCCGTTATTATAAAATTCTTGTTGACGCGGTAAATTTGCATGTTCCGATGCGAACGTACGATGTATAACCGGAAGGAATTAGCGATCTGGCATCAGTGTAAAGGTTAACTGACACACTGACAGAGCTGTCAAGGCTTTTGAATTTACAGGTTATATTTTGAGGTCTCATCCTCAATTGCTCATGACAGCTGTGTGATCCAAAAGATTATTATTATCCAATTTTTCAAAATAATGCCTTTCATTTTAATATCAGGGATACCCTGTAGTGGTAAAACAACTCGTGCTGTCGAGTTGAAACAGTTTTTCGAAGAGCAAGGCAAAGAAGTGCATGTTGTGAGTGAATACGAACAAATAAAGAAGGCAGGCTTTGAGAAAAACTCCTTTTATGCCGATGCAAATAAAGAAAAACATATCCGAGGTCTTCTTAAATCAGAAGTAATGAAATTAATATCACCCAACAATGTTGTGATTCTGGATGGTTTAAATTATATCAAAGGATGTAGATATGAGTTGTTTTGTGCTTCAAAAGCTAACAAGTGTAATCAGTGTACAGTACATGCAGAAATAAACAGAGATCAGGCTTGGGCCTTCAATGAAAATAGAGTGAATGCTGAAGATAAATATAACAGAGAAACTTTTGATGCACTCCTTATGAGGTATGAAGAGCCAGATGGGAGAAATCGATGGGATGCCCCACTGTTTATGATATTCCCAGATCAGACTTTGTCTAAAGATGACATTTACGCTGCCTTATTTAAGAAGAAGTTGCCTAAACCCAACATGGCAACACAAAATCCTCCCCTTAGTTCGACAAACTTTTTATATGACCTAGATCAGACAACAAAAACTATTGTGGATAGTTTAATCAAAGTGAAAAATAGTGGTGTGACAGGGGAAGTGGCTGTGCCTGGTTATCAAGATTTGGAAATAGACATTTCAAAGGTTGATATTCAGAAATTAATGATTTTGAGGAGACAGTATTTGATTTATTCTAAGATGCACACTCCAGATCCTAAAGATGTACCAAAGTTATTTGTGCATTTTCTATCCACTAATTTAAAATAAAATATTGACAAAACACTAGTTTGTATGACTAATTCATGTAAATAAAATCCTTAGGATATACTCTAATCCCTTTCTAGCAATAACTGTTGATTAACATATTCTGCCTAAAGATTGTCAGCAAAAAATTATCTAAGATGAAATAAGATTTGATTGGCTACAGGATTATCTATGGGATTCTAACCTTTTCAAAGCAGATCTTATGTCTATCATCAAGGAAGTGCAATGAGCAAATTATCCGGTTTGGAAGCTGTATAGATATATTAAGATCGACAATCATGTTAGTGTCCAGATTTGAAGAAAAACATGGAAAAACAATATATTTAGCATCAAAGATTGGTTAAGGCACAAATCACGCAAGCTTAAAACACTGCTATATAATGCTACTGCTGACACTTCAGCATTTTTGCTCAAAAGCTTCTTGCAGCAGCTTTTTCTGGGATAAGGATAAATGAACAATCCATGTTATACAGAAATAATTATATTAAAAATAATATACTGGAGGGATCATACAAAATTTCAGCAATATGTTTATCTTAAAAATAATCTCTCAACAAAATATAGTATTATACTTATATAATCAACATGACTAAAACATAAAAAACAAAGAAGACACATTTTACTATGGAAGAAAATATTAAGCTTTCCCTGAAAGAAAGTTGTCCTTTTTATATACTTACCAGTTTTACAAAAAAAAGTGGCTAGGAGCCTAAAACAATGTCATACTATTCATGCTTAGTTGAATAAGTTTTCCTATTTTTATAGTTACAGATTTAAAGCAATTCTGTTTGTCATTTAAGGTTGGTGAATTGGAAAATATAGCAAGTTTATTTCACTTTCTGCTTTCTCAGAGTTTTGTTTGTATTCTGGTCAACCTCTGGTAGATCAGACTCTTCATTTTTCTTGCCTACAACAAATCATAAATATTATTTTCAGTTTGCAGAATTTCCCCATCCAATATGTATTGGTTAATTTTACACAACTTTTAAATCACTACCTAGGTGTGTGTGTTTCAGTAGTGGGAATACTTACTCTTCTTGGATTTTTCCTTCTTTGGAACCTTGGTCTTAGGCACACTGGTGACTACTTTGTTCTCCCTAGATCTAGCTATCTCTTGGTTGATGACATTGAAAGTCAAATACCTGCAGATTAAAACAATGAATAACCTTTCAAAGCTAAAACTCCACAAGAATCCTTACATCTGTAGAGCCAATATTCCACCTAAAACTCCCAGACGGATGTAAGGAGTATTAAAGTGGCCAGTATTCAGATCAAGAGGCTTCTGTTCTACCAAGGCAAGACCATACCAAAGGGTCAAAATGGCCAAGATTATACTTCCTAGACGTGCCAGAAGTTGTAATGTGTTTGTTACCAGCCTGGTAGCTGAAAATGCATAATTCATTAGTTTGTTTTGTAAATATATTACTAATTTAAACATGAGAATCTAAAAAAATTCATTTCCACTAAAAAACCCTTGATCCTGATTTAACAATACCCAGAATCATATATGAAAAGTTGGCTTGGCATAAATGAAAAATTACCTTTTGTGAATTTTTCCTCTTTATCTACAGTTTCAATAAGTTGAGATCCATGGTAGAATAGTTCAGCAAGGTGATGGAATGCCAACAGACATACCAGCAAACGATTGAAGCTGAAAAATGGTAATCCAAATCACACAAACTATAACGCAGAAAAACTTCCATTGAAGTCACTTGGTATTTTTTTCCATTGACTATTTTTCATACCAGTGGTTTGTAGTTTCAGAAAAAATCCAAATAAAAATACAAGATAAATAAATCAATAAGGGACTGAAGTAGTAGTTTAAGATGACTTCACATAAGTGGTAGAATGTTATTATCATAAGACATTCTTATTGGACTTTAGGTCTTTTTCAATGCCATTTAGACTATGGAAGTCCTGAATATATCAGTTTATCATTATTACATATATCCTTTATCTAATACAACTGATTGATATTTTACAAATAGACCAGCACTGTGATGGATCAATTTTGAGGCATTCTGATTCATCTACAATTCTTTTTTGTTTAGTAGAAAGTAATTTGATTATTAATTACTACAAGAGCATATAAAAAAAATTCGTTAATTTCCTAAACAGACTAACTGAACTTACTTTAAAAAGTATGGTATAGCAATCAAAGCCAGTGCTACAACGCTTTGAGTAGCCTTGGCAAAATATTCCTCCTTCTTTGTCTTTTGGAAATACAGTTCTGGAATTTCATGCAGGTTATAAGCCAGTTGAATGATGAAGTACAGTTTAAGCATGAATGACATTGGTGATGGATAGTCTGACCACAGCCTGGAAATGTCAAAGAGGAACATCTCTTTGATGGCAATGTCCAGAGCCCAACCAGCTGAGACCAAGTAGAACACCAGGAGCTGCCCACTTGTAGAGAATATTGCTAGCTTGGATTTGGACAAATGGAGTTTTTTTGAAAATTTCTGAAACAATGAAATTTTTGTATGTTTACCTTTGGGCGAATATGAAATGATCAGTATTTACTAACAGTAAACTTGTTATATTTACACCAATAAATACTGATGGAATAGGATACTTTCTGGATATTATCAATATTATTTAACATTCATCTATCAACTATTTCCAAAAATCTGTTTCTCAAGATGTTGGTTTCACAAAATCCACAAACCATTTTTTTGTTGCTACAAAAACACTTAAAAGGTTCAGATTCAGTTCACACTTTGTATTTGTGGGGACCAAAATGATAATTGTTTTACATTAATTCTTAGGGAGTATTGATCAGTAAATCTGCTTAACTATTCTATTACCTCCAGATACCCCATTGCATGTGCCTAATAGCTAACACACCAAAATAAAAAAGAAAATAACAGAAACTAACAATGATAATATTTCAATAAGTGATCTGTTCAGATTTCAAATGCTCAATGATTTGTCATTTTAAAGCTGTATATCAGAGTATATTAAAGTGTATTATTGGGTTCAAACAGAATTGATAAAAGCTGAGATAATTGAATTCAGAAACAATAAATAATAATGGATAAATATTCACATTTGTATGTTTCAGTAATGTATGATGTATGCAGGCCCTATAAGCAGAGCAGGGAGGATCAGGTAGTTTTCTCCCCCTGTGCCTTCAGTTCTCAGAGGGGCCCAATACTCAGACTAGATAACCGTTCAACTTTTTTTGAACATGCAAAAAGCTAAGATACACACTAGTAGACCAATATCCCCTATATACACTTATATAAGTATCCTAAAATGTTAGTTTCTACTCAATACTTGAATTAACATGTTGAAACACACTTACAAAATCGAATGAGATATATGATAAATGGATATGTAACATAGTTATCACACAAATTCAAAAAATCAACCTAACTGCATGTGCTTGTATTATAATAAAATCAAAAAAGGGGCAGAGGAAGCCGTCAAGATTCTCCCTTTTTTCTAATTATGTATCATTCATTTACACCCTTAAAATATTAAAAGAAAAATTAGGACATTGATGTGTGGACCTACACCAACATTTCATATGAGTATATAATTTACAAATGTGACTGTTTTATGGAAAAATAGTGAGATTTGGGAAGATAAAAATATTATACTTACATCCAAAACATATTCCTGAATGATGGCATGGATAACGATACAGATTAAGCTGTAGAAGAAAATGCAAGCCCAGTCTTTTATCCCAGGACTATACAAAGGGATCTCTCGGGCCTCTGTCACGTTGTGCTGGAGGGTGATAAATACCGACGCAATAGGGGTTGTAGCCTGAAAAAAGGAATAATGCACATAACCTACATAGACATATGTGAATGATTTTCTCAGAAACTACCCGATAGATTTTTATACAATTGACCATATGGATACTTACGTGGACCATAAGTCCCACAACAAACACCATTGCGATACAGGACACGATATCAGCATGATTTTGGATGATGAATTCATGGCTTAGAATCGGTGGATTCTTATTTGAGGTTTTTCTGACTGGTTTTACCATTTTTTTGGATTTTTTAATTTTATAAAAGCTTAGCGGGTGAAGTTAAGTAACTTTGTTAGAATATCTATAAGCTAACCCCGCAGAAAACCAAACCACAACCACTAATAATCAAACACCCCTTATCTTACAACATATCACCAGGAATCTGGACGTTTATCGCATACCGTAAATGCCACGCACAGACACGTCAACTGACAGCGGTGCGAAATGCCGACCAATCAGAAACGAGAGATTACTTTCAGGCCAACGTTCTCAGAGTTGTATTAAGTCGGGTTCAGACCGAGATTCCAACGCAAGCCAAGGCACATGTCGTTACAGATTTGGAGGTGTTCGAATTTCGAATCGGTGTTTAAGTGGTGTTTACGGCGCGAGCCAACGGTTTCCCAAGTCGGCGTTGGCGTTCGATTGCGTTCGCTCCTTGATCGGTACATCAAAGGGAGGTTTGATTTGGTCTGGGCAGGATTTGTCGCACTTCTAGTATTTAGTAGTTTGTCTGTATTCGATGAGAGAAGACTCGTCGCTCGACATTAGCACCGAACTTAATCCAACGCGGTCCAACTCGAAACTAAATTTAGGTGTAGGCGAACGCATTCCAATACCTTCAAACAACAAACGCCAACGACACACATGTGCTTGCATTCGTTTGGATGTTCGATCTGTACGCGGCTTTAAGGCTGTCAGACATCCCAACGTAGTCCAGTAATTATGGATATTTTGAAAAAATACATGGCATGCAAACAACTTTTCTCCCATAAAAGCAATATGCACTCACGCACAAATTATTTTATAACCCCAGCTAAGCCAACACTGCGTACAGTTCACGGACATTGAATGGAATTTGATGTCTCACTCCATGTTTTCCGTCGATGTCATCGACGTCTTCCCAAGAGATATTCCATTAGTGCGTCGAATGAGTTGCTAATCCATAGATTCTAAGGCTCGCGGGCTTGAATCTCCATGGATGTTGTGTTTGTCTATACATATATTACTCACCAGATCGGTGCAACATCAACATAGATACAGTACAGAGTCCATACTATATACGGCCGGCAAAAATGCTCAAAAGCGGCGAAGTTGACAGGCCCCGAAGTAACCAAAACTAAACTCTTATGAAATAAAAACATTTTTCGTGTAAACTCTGTCGAGTGCTTTGAATCAATTTGTAGATCCGAATCTTCTCTGGGAAAACCGGTACTTTTTAATTTTTTTTCTGAAAAACAATCAGGTTCATTGTACATTAAGAACATTTTTAATTAGAGAAAAGCTGTAGGAAATCGATAAAATGGTATCGTCATATTTTCATATGAAATCGCACGGGTATTATGTAAAAAACCTATAAAACGTAAAAACAAACCTATAAGATGTCATCTTGCAGACTAGGTAGTTTTTATGGCGCAAACAGTCATTCCACGTTTGCTCACTAGGATCGTTGTGAACGTCCATCTATGGAGGAAAAACTCAACTAAACTACACCGATTGTTGGTTGCATATGTTTTGTGAGGCCGAGTGGTCTGCGTCTGTTGTTTTTATCTCTGAGAAGAAAGTTGGTTGAATAGCAAGATCGCATATGGATGATTATGTGTATTGGTCTGCATGTGTATAAAATCAGTGATATTAGCTGTGTGAGAAAATCATTACTGAATATGCTGTCAATGAAGTATATCTATTAGTTGTGCCCGACGGGTTATTTATATGTTGTTCTTTCTAAGAGAGTCTATGTTCAAAGTTATAAATTACGAAAAACATTAAGGAGAATTACGGGAAATCATCACCGCGCCCGCGCTGTGTGTAATTACTGTTAGCATGTATATAGCTTGTAATTTGACAGTGTACAGTGAATATAATTATTTCTTATAATAATAATAATAATAATAATAATAATAATAATAATAATATTTATTACCCATTAGACAATTTACAGTATGTATATACATAAAAAACAAACAGTAAAATGACAAGCAACAACAAACAAACATCTCTTTTCTTAAATTCAGCAAATTTGCATATGTAATTTCCAGAATGGATAAGAAAAAGTGGATGCGCAACTAATTTCTAGCTTTGAATCTAAATTAAGTGTATTTGAGACAAGAATCCAATGGAATTATCATCAACACATACAACTCACAGCTTAGACCTCCATTAATGTCATCTTTGAAGCAGAGCTTACATCAGAGCCAAACATTGATAATTGACGCGTCATGACGTTTAGGCAACACGTACAACTAAGTGCCAAGTTAATATCTTGTAGAAAAACCTACATAATGTCAAAAAAAAAACAGTAAAATGTCAAAAAAATCGATATAACATCACTTTTCAATATACGTAATACCCCCGTATTTTGAGTTCTTAACACGTAGACGCAGATTATGTATTTTTATAGATTTTCCACACTAGCTTCGGGAGGTTAATTTCCAAGTTGAAAATACTGCAATTAAAAAAGAAACACTTTACCTTTGTTGAAATGGAATGTCAAGTTGAATAACACTGGTCAGTCATTCAGGGTTCCTCACTTCCAAGGGGCCCCATGTTTGAAATAACAACGATCAAACATGAAAGACCATCGACACATATGGATGGAAAAAATAGCTTGAAATTGGCTCTTGAGAAGATGGAAGTAGTGATACTTTCTGGCAGACAGAAGCTAACTTCATTAGCTGTTAAGGTTGATAATTCCAAGATTCGGAGCCAAAATGCAATTAAGTATCTGGGTGTGCGGCTTGACAAAGATCTGACAATGATTGAACATATAAGACGCACCACTGACAAGGTAAATAAAGTCGTTACATCACTTATATGTACGGCTAATGGCATCTGACGGAGGCCCCAGCAGTGCTAGACGCAGGATTTTGGCAAAAATATAGACAGCTAATATTGGGAAGCCAGAGAAAAGTTGTACTGTGCGTGGTATGCGTTTACAGAATAGTGCCGACCGATGCACTGCTGGTGGTAGCTGGTATCCCGACAATTTATTCGCTGGCTGCGGAGAGATGTGCGGTCTACAAAAAGGGCGTCTAAGCTACAAGCGGGGGGAGACGGAGTTGTCTGCTACATCAATGCTTCTGATAACGAATGCTCTTATTCCTTGAATGACAGGTATTGAAAATTGAAGAGCGAGGGTCTGCACCAGTGCGTCTGAGTGCGCTAATGTTCTTGTGAAAATTGAATAGCGAAGAACAAAAACTCATCCCCTTCAATTTATTTTTGGCTCTTCATTTCATACCACCCCCCCTTCGTGCGCTGTGCGCTTCTATGGTCAGTGGCAGTGGCAAATTTGGCTTCCTAAATGGAGCCTCGGCGAAATCCATTTTGCCCCAGCACTATCAATCTGAAGCTCAGGAAGCTCTGATCCATTGTGAAGAAATGTTTAATGTTTTATTGAGATCAGTGGTAGCTATATTTCATTAAAACTATCTGCCACTCGACGTGTTTATTTTCACGTAAATTACATGAATTTGACCTACGTCGCAATGACGTCGTTTTTACGAGCAAAAAACGTTGGGTCACGAAAAGCCACCAATATTCGTCATTGTAAAGGCATCATCCGGTTAGCATGATAATGGAAAGCTTGATCGTACTGGGTTGATCGATCCTATTTTATTTTAAGTTGTCTTTATACTTAATATCCATCCCTCGTTGTTCTTCCAAAATGTTTTATATCTCGGTCTGAATATATCGGAGTGTCTATTTTACATCTCCTACGTTAAATCAGTCATGTCATGGATTAATTACTAATTTAATTAGTTTATTCTTATCAGGTAATGCTCGACACAAGGATAAAACAATTTTCTCAGTTTCACATACTTTACCTACAAGGGAAAATTGATCGCGTTTCCTCGTAGTAAACTATAATTTGCCCATTAATTTACCCACATACATACATACTTCACAAACAATTGTTATCTCTGCTTATCTTAAGATACATGAATACAAAATTGGCTCTAATTGAGAATGACAAAACTGATTTGAATACAAGCAGGTTGATTTATTTGTTTATTTAGCATCGAGACACCGATATTCCCACTAATAACTCTGTGTTCATAAAGTGGAAAAACGATTATTTCCTATATTACGAGGATTTTGACATGTTCCGGTCGGCAAGACATGAACAACAACCACGCATATATCCACCAAAAACATGATTTTTGTTGTCGAAAAAAGATCAAGTGTCAGGTAGAATGATTAAGTACTTATATATGTAGTACAAGTAGATTTTTAAGAAATACGAAAAGCCCTCAACGGCAGTAACGAAAAAAATGATGCATCCATAATTCATAACTTTTTTATGTTGCAAGACTATTAAAACGAAATAAATGACACTATTGTTTCCCACCCAGGTTATTGATAAACATACTTAATAGTTATGCGTATTTTATCATGGCACAATTGAATCAGAACAATAATGGGTATCACTTAATTAATGACATGTCATTATCGTATCCAGTATTGTTGTTCTTATCTTTCTCTTAAGCTGGAGAGCGTGAGAAGACGTGAAAAAATAATAGAAACATCGGTACCACTTAATAAAAGAGGTGTTTATTCTGTGCCAGATGTGCAATATGTTTTCGTATCAAATATTTATGAAATACAGTTTTACGTTTAAAATATTCCTAGTATGTACTAAGATTGACAAACAATACAAAAATCCAGTTTTGATTTTTGCTGTTTATATCATAGTCTTGCTTTAAGGGTATGATGGATGTGATGTTTCGTTAAAGTTCCTATGAAGGGCTATTACAAAAATATTCTCTACTACTACTCAATGTCTGCCTTCTCGAAAAAAAGTTCATCTCCACATCTTGTAAGCATTTTTTTAATCTAGACATGAAACGTTCCTTAACCCAGTAGCTCCCAGCGTATGATTCATCATACGTAAAACACGTGGCCATTTGAGGTTATGTTATATCTTGCGTTAGCGGCATAGCGAGCGGTTATGCAAATGTTTGAGTGTAGATAGGTCTAATATTGATAATACAACATTGCAATTCAGTTCTATTATGACTCATATGGCTTAGTGATCTGTTATAAGAACGAGAGGTTCACATTCACCATCGGAATGAGTACCAGGTAAGTTATTCATTATTTCCATGAAATCAGTTATTTTATTTGTTGTTTACTTTGTCCGTTTCTGTGCCTTGGGGATTGCTCCAAGTATTTCCATTTTCGACAAATGTTAAAATTTTAATTTACCATTGATTCGAGACTTTTTGTGTCACGTATGATATATCATACGCTGGTACAGTAGATATTATTATTATTATTTGATATTCACTATATTTTACAGGAAAACTTTGTATAATCCAGAGAATCCAAAGGACTTGGAGGAGCTGATGAACTACTTCCACAGCCTGGACTCAGACGATGAAGCTCATGAGCAGTTTCAAAGTGCAGAGAGCTTAGAAGTCGCGTTAGTTCCTCCTGACGATGATATGGACAAGATGATGCTCGCAGTGATGACGATATGGTACCTAGTATCAGAGATCTGGGAAAGCGTATTCTCTCTCAGAAAGTAGATGTTTTTGCTGTTAACAAGAATAAAGAG